CCATGTGCATTAACTTAAATGCTTTGCGGGCTGGGCACTTTGCTTTCTAAAAGGCAAAGCTAAACTAAAATAAAATAAAAGCATAGAAAAATGAAGAAGGGAGGCACTGTTGCGAAAACTGCGGAGTGGGTAAAAGGAGCTGGGTAAAAAATGCTTTTTCAAACATTTAACGATTTTTTAGGTCAGCCAAGAGCGCACGAATATTTTATCATAAAAATACAAAATGTACTGGCAAATATAAAATTGTGTGTGAGCCAGGTGCATTTAAATTTTTCTTTAGCCTTAGTTCATGAAAGTCAGACACTCACAAATATACAGTACAGTTTATGGAAATTTCCCTTTGGTAGTTGGCAGTTTTTTGAAATGCGAAACTTATTAACGTACTTCAGGATGTGGATGTGGATTAGAAGTGCGACTGCTGGTTTCCCTAATTGCAGCGTCCACAAATGTTGGCAAAAACGTGGCCTTGCCACGGCTTGACAATAAGCAGCCTGAAAACATGGCTTGCAAAATTGTGAAGCCGCTCGGCTCGAATCGCAGAATGCAGAATGCAGCTGAGGGGGCAACGTTTTGTGATTATTGAAACAGAGCCCTCGTCACTCACATGCACTCGGTGTCGTCTAGCGTTCTCTTTCTACACGGGGTCTCTCCATCTCTTTCTGCCTGTCTCTCCATGGTGCTGTAAATAATTTCAAAGTCTGCGTACCGCCGAGAAAAATAGGTCAACAGTGTTGTTGCTGCCGTTAAACTGGGCGTGACGGTAAAAGTGGCAAGCTGAAGTTGCATGTGCCACGCCCCTGGATCCCATTTCTGTGGCGGTCCCCCAACTGAATTTCCCGCCCTAAAGCTTTCGACCATAAAGTAGCTAGTCCTAAAATTCAGCCAAGTTTCGTATATTTTTTTTTCATCCGTGAAGCGCCCCACGCCCCCCACCTAATTGGGCTGCCAGTGGGCGTGGCAGGGGCATACATTCGCACACATAAATTGCATAGGATCAACTAGTGGTTAATATTTGATGGCTGCTGCTTGCGTTTTCCCGTGCAGCAGCAGCAACAACAGCAGCAGCAACAGCCAACTGCATCCGAGCTAAACTGCAGCGACCTACTTTTCGACAATGCATTTTTGCAGAGGCTGCAGAGCGAAAGGGGGTGGTTGGGTTGGGAATGGGAATGGGGATGGGAATGAGGATGGGGAGTGGGATTGGGATTTGGGGGTGGTAAGTGTTATTCGAGGGCTGCATCAACAAGTACACACTGAATAATTTGCAGGGCTCCCGCTAGGATGCGAAGGGAAATGAGTAAGAGCTCTGGTTGTTGATTCTACTTCATGTCTTCAGCCAAGTGAAGTGAAGCCGTCCATAAAGAAAGTAACAACTATAAATGCATTCCCAAGAATATTAAATTGCCAGCGCAAAATGAAGAGTTAAACCTATCTTGGAAGACTTGAAAAATAAATTCATATTACATTACCACAAACATTTAAGGACTAGCAATTCACAGTAATGTTTAAAAGTATTATTAAATGAAGATGAAAATTTAAAATTTTTCTATAAGTTAGTAATGGTTTAACCAATTAATTATTTGTTTCCTTGAGCATTAGAAAAAAATTACATTAACAGGTTATTTATGTAAAGCTTTTTATGTGTAGTATAAATTGTCTTGATCAGAATTAAAATATGAGTGTCTTTGTCTAAAGATGTTTAAAAATTTATAATCGAAGATTTAACAAAACTAATTTGGACGAAGTTGGTAATTTTCGGTTGATAAGAGTCAAACTCTATGCAGACCATCCAAACCTTTTTAATAATTTAATCAAAAGAGTAAATTAAATTTTCTTTTTGTTTTAAGTGTATAGTCCTGTATTTATTTCTGCTTAAAAAATTTGAGAAATAAAAACTACTAGTAATTTAGATATAAGTGCTCCTTCTCATTTTCTTCGAAGTCATTTAAGTAAACATGTTATTTATTAATAAACATAGATCGGTATATATTTTATAAAATGGAATAATTAAATATTTTATAGGCTTACAAAAGCTCTTAGTTTGCTTCCAAGGTTGAATCTTCAACTGGACTCACTGGTTGAACCCTTTTCCAGTTTTTCGTTAACAAACGAACCATGAAAATGCTTGACTAAAAACTAAAATATGTCAGCCATCAGCGCGGAATCTTTGAGGTAACTATTTATATAATTCGTTTATGCATTTAAAAAGTTTGCTTTCCGTTTGTTAGTTTCTCAAGGCTTTAGCTCAACTGTTGCCAAACGCTTTTTATTAGCAAAGCTAAAACAATTTAATAAATAAATAACTAAGCAGCGAAAGAGCAAACTGTGCAAAAAATAAAGGAAAAAAATGTGTACCAAATGGAGAGCATGCGGAAGATAAGGCAAGGGCGGGCGAGTCCAGTCGAGTCAAGTTGAGTTGAGCCAGGCCATGTCCTTGGGCGACTTCCCACGCAAAAATATTCACCAGCAAAGGTTACCCCAACACACACACACAAACTAACACACACTCGCAAGCGAAAGCAATCAAAGAGAATGGCTGAAACAAACACACAGATACAGATACAAAAATACAAACACAGATACAGATACAGACACACACTCAACGCACCGACAAAGAGAGAAGAAAACAACATAAAAATTAAAGAAGCTTTAAGTATTCGAGGGGGCAGCTATTGGTTTGAGCCACCTCCTCTTGCAACATTTCGTCCTTTTTCTTAGAATTTGCACGCTGTCACCGTTTATTCGCTCTCACGCACTTCGAGAGAGCTCTCTTCGCTCGCACTTTCTCTGCGGCGGATTTTCTCCACTCTTTCCCGGCTCTGCTCTCCCTGTTTACCTTAAAGCTCTGCCCCATGCCATTGTGCGAAAAACACATCTAAATGTGCAGCGATTATGGCTAAAAAGATCCTTGTGCCGCTGCCAGATACACTTTGCACAGGCGAAGATACAAATACGGATACATAAGATGCAAATACGTTGGCTAAAACAGTAAAATAATAAGAATAAGACTTGTAAACATAATAATACAAGAATATCACCAACATTTTTGTAATGTTTGTTCTACAGCAAATCATATTATTATATATTTAGCTTCTCACTTTCGAAAAATGTTGTCAAATGAAATTTGAATTTGGCAGTTTTCGTAAGCTTTTGTGGAGAAACTAGGTTTGTTATAATACAAAATGCCAAGTATAAGTTTATAAAGTGAACAAATGATAAAGTAAACTTATAACGACCAATATTTATGTTATTTACCTTTGCAATATTTTAGTTCTTTGAAATCAAACTCGGGAAATAAAACAACAAAATGTAAAATATTGGGTTTCTGTTTTTGTTACCCTAATTAAATATTAAGTTCACCTAGTTGAAACTGACAAGATAATAATCTTCTTGTTCATTTGCCTGAGTATTTTTAGCCATTTTAAAGTTGAGCTGTTTGCTGGTGTGCTGAGTACCTCTTGCCTCGAATGTTTATGAATATTTTATTTACATAAGCCAGCCATCAGCATATGAGTTCATATTACTGCTGAGGGACTCACAATCCGTAAGCGAGACATAATGGAGTGAAATGTGTAATAAACTGTTTAAATTTATCAGTCCGAGGTTTAGTATAAAACTATTAAACACCCGAAAACTTATCTATACAAATTGATTGTTTTCATGAATGGTGTGAGTACAACCTTTTAAAGTTGAACTACCTTAAATGCAACGTCATGACTTTTTATAGGGGTACTCCTACGTTTATTAGTTATTTTCTTGAAAATACGTCACTCGACCGTATATATTCAGTTAACGATTTAGGTGTTCTTCTTGACCCTAAACTTAAATTTGACTGCCACATAATGTCCACTGTTAATAAAGCCATGAGTGTTCTTGGCTTTATAAAGCGTTGGTCAAAAGAATTTGATGACCCTTATACGACCAAATTATTATTTACCTCACTTGTCCGTCCTATTTTGGAATATTGTTCGTCGGTTTGGAGTCCACAATATCAAGTGCACATTGACCGTATTGAGTCGGTACAAAAAAATTTCTTCTTTTTGCCCTTCGTAGTTTGAACTGGGATCAAAACGTAAGGCTACCTTCCTACCAGAGTAGATTACTGTTGCTTAATTTACCTACACTTGTAAATCGTAGAAAAATGCTTGGTACTATTTTTATGCATAATCTTATAAGAGGTGATATTGATTCTGCAGAACTTGTAAACCGCCTAACTTTCAATGTTCCTGTTAGACTAACACGAAATTATATCCCTCTAAATTTTGCCACGATGTTCATCAAATTTTTGTCTGCACGAGCCCTTTCGCGTTCTATGTAATACTTATAACAACCTTTATCATCTAATCTGCATTTCCACTTCTATCCCGTTACTAAAAACTAATATTTTAACTCATTTGCTTTTCTCTTAATTGTGCCTTTTATTTTCACTTGTGTCTTGTCTCTATTTAATTTATGTATTTTCCTCGCGAACTCGCATTTTTTGCCCAAATTGATAATAGGGCCCGCGCGTAACAAGCACGTGCTTGGTGTCGTTGGGCCACTTGTTTGTACTGCTCGTAGTGCATCAACGTCCATCAGAAAAAAAAAAAAAAAATTATATTTATGTTCGGGATAATGATGGCCTTAAGAAGAATACCTTCTTATCTGTTCTTTGCTCAGAAAATGTTGGATTATCTCATCGATTTATTCCTTCAGCAAACTCTTATCTACAAGTGTGAGTGAACATAAGTCCTGAGCTGATAGCAGAGTATGTCTTTTCTGTTCTGAAGATTGTGAATAAATAATGGATTATTTCCATTCATACCCGGAAGCGTAATTTGTCTTAAATGCATTCTAAGCCTTTATTGTTAATAGCTGAAAGAAAATCAGTTGAATTAAAAAAACAACAAAGGAGCAATAGAAAATAGAATTCAGTATGCTTGCAGTGTTTTTTAAATATGAATACCAAAAAAGATGTTCAAGTTTATTAAATAATGCAAAATGGAATGCTTTTGCATTAATTTTTTTTAAGTCGACAAGCTTTATTCTCAAATGAAAAATGGTTTAAAATTAACAATCAACGTTGATCTAACACAGCCCAAAGCGATGGGATAACTTGACTCTTCATGGCACATACTCGTCCACATCCACGGTCTTCTGCGAATACTGGCACTCCATCTCCTTGCTGGCCGCGGCAGCCCGTTCCTGGCGATACCGCCTTCCGCCCAGGAGACCCACAATGAGCAGGACGAAGAGTGCTCCGCTGGCCACACCAATGATGGGAATGGTCCAGGGATTCAGCTCATCCTCATCGTCGGTGGCCTCGTTCAAGGCGAGTATTTGGTTGAGCAAAGTGCGCTTACAGCTGAGCACCCCACTTGTCTCACTGGTTTCCTCCGGGACATAGCCTTCGGAGCAGTGACATGTGCCGGATTCCAGGCATGTTTGATGGGCACCACAGCCGGATTTCAGGCAGCCCGCCTCATTGCTGTTGAATTGCTTCTCGCGGCATTCACCGCGGAAGAGGACATAGTCTTCGGGGCACTCGGTGGCCGTGAAGGCAGCCGTTGAACTGGTGCTCAGGGACTCGGCAATCTCCTCGGTGGTGTCCTGCTCCTCGGACATCAATTCGGCACTGACCTCGGCGCAACGTTCCTCGGCCTTGTCCCATCGATAGCCGGCGTTGCAGGAGCAGCGTTCCACGTCGATGCACTTGCCATTGGCACAGCCATCGCCCACCTGGCAAACCGGGGCACAATCCGCACTCACGCCATCGCCGGTGGGTTGCAATTGGGTGAAGCCGTCGCGACAGGCGCAGGTGTTGGGCGACACACACTGGGCTCCCGCTGGACAGCTGGTCTGGCAGATGGGCTCACAGTAGTGGCTGCCATCCTGGTGGCTCCTGGCCGAGACGTAGCCGGAAATGCACTCGCAGCGATCGGGGGCGGCACAGCTGGCGTGGGCGGGACAGCCGCGACTGCAGACGGGCTCACAGAGGCCCACCTCCACCTGCAAATAGCCCGGACAGCACTCCCTGATCAGCCGGTGGGTCACTTGCTCCTCCTCCGAGTTGTAGGTCTCTGTGATCTTCTGGCTCTTCTTCCACACCTTCCATTTGGGGGGGTCCTTTACGATGGTCCGTTGCTTAATGACCGGCACTTGGGTGCGAATCGTCTCGTTCCTTTCGCAGAAGTTATCCCGCTGATCGGCGGCTGTAGCAGAACACAGCAGCAAAATCACGGCCCAGATGAAATTCATTTTTCCGCTTACTTGTCCGTTCTTAACTACGGTCGGTACAGAACTGAATTTTCCCACAAACAAGAAGTGCAGGCGAGAGCTAAGCTGGCATTCAGGCAGCAGACTGCGGGGAGGATCGGCGGAGAGAGCAGACAGGCCACCAGATAGCAGGCAATAACATCCGCAGCTAGATAAAATCGCTCTTTACACTGGTAAAAAAAAGTGTACGAATAGCTGTGAATAAATTCCAGCTAAGCCACAAGTTTTTAATGCATTTGTTGCTTTGGGATACATCAAATCAACTGCATCTTATTTAATTTAATATATGAACAAATAACTTCTCTTAAAGTAACTCAAAAATCATTAAATCTTATTTAAAACAAAATTGCATTTGTAATTATAATTACGTTATATTGTTTAACAAGTTTCTCTGAATTTTTTTCAGTGGTTTTATCCCAGAGGGTTGCAGCATATCTGAGTCAAAGGTTACCCTCGGATTGATGGCACCATGCTGGATCGCTCTGACTTTGAACCTCCCTCTCTTTATCGCGGTGCCCCCTCCTTTGCGAGTCCCTTTTCATAAGACCCGCTTCATAAGTTGCCCGCATAAAACCACTGATAAGACGGAAAACAACATACTATAAAGATGCAATTGTTTTCCATTGAGAATCGCGGTCGATATGACTCACAAAGAGCGGAACTAAATGGTCTTACTTCCTCTGTAACTAATAGCAAATAATAATCATATTTTTCTACAAATGCGTTGGCCTCTACTGGTTTCGTTTTCTTTCATGTTTCGTTTTTGAAATGTTCACTGCTAAGGTTTTTTTCACCTTATTATCATTAACTGATCCTTTTTGTTACCTGCCGTCCTAGAGTTTTACCTGCTCAACTTGTTATAAGTTGTTTGTTCTCTGAAGCAAAGGAAAAACCAAAAACTTCCCAGCAGCAAGATTTTTGAATTAAATTTATGAGACAGAAATAGTTTATATATGCTAATTCGGGTAGCATCTTTAGCATATTTAAGAACTGTTTGTTGGATAGAGTTTAGAAACAAAATCCTCTTACAGAAATTAAAAGAAATAAAGAATATATAAAGTCTAGAACTGTCTGACCTATCCTACTCCGAAAATTCATTATATTACTCAAGCCACTCGCTTCAATAATACCATATGAAATTTTAAAATCAGTCTGCATTCTATGCTTTTATAATTAACTTCTCACCCAAATCGGTCAATCAATTATCTCAATAGAATTATGATCCCCAAGCGTTTAAAAGGTCACTCGTTGGCAGGCTTACTCCGCTTTTGCAGAGCACACAAATCAATTTGGCAGGATGAAGCACATAAATGTTTGAGGCACTTGAATTTATTCTAGCCCCCAGGAAGCCTGACGTCATTGGACTTGCGGCATTCGCACATTTGTTACTTTTGTCACGCTCGTTTCGAGTCGGGATCTCTGGGACAATGTTTTGTTGAGCACATTCACAGTGAACCCGAAACCCCATATACGGATATATATACGATATGTGTGTACATATGTGGATATGTGGGCATATATGGGCAACTGTCAATGCAGGAACAGGCGGCGTATAGGGCACGTATCCTGTGCCGCAAAATGCCCCAACTTCTTCGCCCCGCGGGCTGCCTTTATGAAACATATGAACGGATGAATGACAGCTGACATAGAGACAAAAGTGTGTGTGACACAGTCACATTCTAATCTAAAATAATTGAATTGAAGTCAGATTGCAACTGATGCCTTTTTCTCCTCAGCCAATGTGTGTGTGTCTATGTGTTTGTATCTGTATCGCACAGATACGTTTGCAGATACAGATACGGCACGACGGTCTTCTTTTAAGAGTGTTGGTGTGCTGCTTGTTGTTCTGGGTTTGCAAAGTGTAACTGTTGGATAACAGATAAACGGCTTGTGCCACTTGCCACTGACAGTCGGCCCGTATCTGTATCTTCTGGCGTCGTATATCTGTATCTTTTGTGGCCGCCAGTTACCCACATCACATATGCGCGGCACCGCCTAAGATAATTAATGGTTTACTGGGTTTCGCTAACTGGATTTTGGTTTGTCATTGTCTCTGCAGCATCACATCTCCCAAAAAACGGATAGAAATGGAACTCATACCCATCCACCATCACTTCTGGTCGAGATTTCTCACGTCGGCAAGTGCAATTAGGCCCGGGGACTAGTCAAAGTTGAGGGCTCCCGTGAATTATTGCCAAGCTTCGGCTGCGATTCGCGACTCGCTAATTGCCAGCCATAAATTTGCATTATCTCACGTAGGTAAACCCCCGAAAAGCGTTCAAGGAAGTTCCGTTCCGTTCCGTCCGGTCCCCTCCCTTGTGGAACTGTTAAATTATCTAAGTTGCTGGCGGCCCCAAAAACTTTGGCCCCAGCCCCCGTGTGACATCTGCTGCTCAAATGCACAGGCACGTAGCTGCCTCCGAATCAGTTCGGGTTAAGCCGGGTGGGTCGGGAGTTCGTTTGCTATGGACAGTTTAACTGGCAGCATGTTAGGGCATTTCATGGCTAAGCCTCTCTCAGCACCTAAGCCCCCCACCCCACACCGCCCTCGTCCACTACGGACAAAAGTTTTGGTCGCACGAAACTTTCCAGCTCCCGAATGATAGGACAATAATTTTAATTATAGATTAGCAGACAAATCCTCGAATGAGCACTAAAATTTCACAAATTATGACAGCCGAGGAAGGTTTGCCAATAAAGGTGCCAGGTCTATGCCATCTATATGCGGTCACAGCCTTGCCAGGACTTAAACAGAATTTGAAAGCCATAATAAACATTTGTTTGCTTTCCTTAAAATATTTTAATTTCTATTATCCAGGGCCAAAAAGCGTATATCCTAAATGTCATTAAAAATTTGTAATTTGTTACATAGTTTAACTAAATTTATATTTCTAAAATATTGTGTTTCAAAGTTCCTCCCATTTGACCCTTGAGAATTAAACCAATTAACAAACTTGTTCCGAATCCTAACCCATAAACTCACTTTATTACCTTTTTAAGACCTTTTAAATTGATTTACCTAATTGTAAGAAATTAATCCATGACATTAGTTAAATAGTGTAAGCCACTTAAGCTTTTGTAACATAAAAAAACAATTTTTTTTCATTCTTAGCAAAGGCATTTGTAACATCTTGAGAGGCGTGCCGGACTTTTACCCTCGCCAACTATCCATATCTATATTTACCAACCTCTGCACTGGCCTAGTTACGGCTAATATTAAGTGGCCCAAGAAAAAACACGAGAATTGTTAACCTTAAATCTCTTTTTCATCCGCGAAGCGAAGGTTAATAGAACAAGCGCAGAATGCTGAGGGAGAGGTCCAACAAAAAAGTGAGCATTGTTTGTCAGCTTTTGTGCGTTGGACTTGCCAGCTGCCAACTGGCCCACTGCGATGACAAAAAAATAAAAAAAAAAATAAAAGGACACCAAGGAAGGAAAGAAAGGCTGGGGGACACACGTGAGAAACTTTGCAAATGGAAAAGTGAAACTGAAAACTGCGTCGCCGGCTGTGATTAAAAAAGTAGCGACGCCATTTGTTGTATCTGCACACTTATATAGTATAGTTGGTGTGTATATAATTTGGTTCATGGGCTCCCCATCTCTCGCAGCTGCGGCCATTTTCATCCGCTGCAAAGTTTAAGGTCCTTCATACATAAATAAGTAGTAGGCAAAGCGGCGTCGCCTCAAAGCACGGCGGCAAACAGCAGGAGCAGGAGCAACAACTAAGCGGACATGACACCCACTAGAAGAGCGCTCTTCAAAAGCGGCCAACAACAACGACACTCATCAACAACGGCCAAACAAGGGCGATAAAAACAAGCGCAACAAGGACTCTGAAACCCGAGACCCGTAGTCCAACATGACACATCGTCATCATACACGAGCGCCACGTAACAGTCGCGACTGCCGAGATCCTGACAACGCCTATGTCCCTGTGTGCGAGTGTGTTAGTGTGCGCTAGTGTGTGTGTGTGTGTGTGTGTGCTGGTGAGTGGGCGGGTGTCCTTTGAGCAGTCACTGTGGCAGTGTGGCAGTCAGTCAGGGCTGCTGGCACATAATTAAGGACATCGTCGGCAAACGCAAGAGGCAGCGAGGAGGGCAGCGCGAAGTGAATTACTTTCGGGGATACTCTTTCTGAATGGCACTGGTCCAAGGACAATAGAATTGCGGTTTTCACTTTCAAACGTCTCGCTCAACTTTAAATACTTGGGTGCGGTCATTTAAAACAATCGTTTTAAATTAAGCAAACAAATATTTCAAGAGAGAATAAAATGTTGTTAGAAATACAATCCGCGTTCGAATTAATGATTAAAGGTAAACAAAATTGTTGAAACGATACAAATATGTATGTGTTTAAATTTCATATGAGTCTGAATAGCTTTATGGAATTAAATTTAAAAAAAAAACACATGATTTAAGTCAAGCACACTGACAGACTCATCCCATTGAAATTTTCCTCCCACATTTTTTTTTTTTAAACATTTTTTTAAAGTTTATTTAATCATTTAATATTATCATTATTTATTAAGTTTTACTTTCCGCGAATGTTTTAATGAACTCATAATTATCAACTTATAATTTGAAATGTTACTAATTTTGCAAAATGAATAGATAAAATTAATTTAATTTTTAATGCTGCAATTGCAATGACCACAACAAAATTAAAATAAACTTAATATTAACTTATTTGTTTTATATGATAATATATAGAGAAATGTTTCTTACATTACAGAAACATTAACTTGGCTAAAATACCAATATTGCCACGTTAAAGAGACTTAGACCCCTATTTCCATTCCAGTTCTCGGGCATTTCCAGGGTATTTGCGATAGACACACTCTCAGCTGCACTTTTCATCTCACTGCCCTGCTGTTTGCATTTGGATTTTCTGGCGGAAGATGGGAGTGTGTGTGGGGCTGTGCCGCAGTCTGCATGAATGAATGATGAAAGAAATGACTAAAGATGCTGCCTGGGCCAGAATGGGTCTGGGTCTGGGCTGTTGCGCCGAAGACAAAGCCTCAAATGGGCATAATGAGCGTAAAGAGGCGGCAAAGCCGAAAGTGCTCTTGGGCGCTTCCAGCTCGGGACAGTGCAGCGCGAATTGTGTCATATTATTAATGAAAAAGAGCCAGGCCAAAATGAGCAGCGAGTGCAAAAGATGAAAACAAAACAGGAAGCCGGAGCACTTTTAATATGCAACAGTCCCTGTCAAATGTGTGCGTTTTTTAGCGAGCGCGTGTGTGTGCTTTCCAAAATGAAAATGAAAATGAAAATCAAGCCAAAGCCCAAAAACCACGGCACCAAAGCAAATAAACCGACGACGGTGCGAGCGTCAAGTTATTTATTTGGCAATTGTGCGCTGCTTTTTATTGTCCTCCGAGTGGCTGCTGCTCTGTTTGCTTTTGGGCATTGCTCCGGAACACCACACCACCCATATATACACCTACCCACGCACAGCCCACTACCACCCCCTCTTCCGGCCACCCACCTACTTGCCAGCTGGGTATTTAAATGCGGCTGTGTGGTCGTCGAAAGGTCAATGGAACAATTTTAAAATGCTTGCCCGAGAAGTGAAACAAAAAAGCAAATCAAGTCCAAATGCGAACACGGCCATGGAGAAAACAGAAATAACGCCTGCGGTTATGGCGTTAGGTATACGAGAGCTCTCTGTGATTATGCCAAATTTTAAGGGCGTGGATGCACAAAATGGTTTATAAGTTATGAACGAAAATTCTGTACAGAACATTGAATCAAAACAAGAAATAACTCAATACTGGAATTTTTATATTAATAGTTACTGTTGTAATTTAAAACCTTTTTCTACCTTTCAAAATGTAGGTACCTCCAATTCAATTTTAAGAGAACTGGTCACGAATTTGAAATACAAAGTTTAAGATATAACCAAATTCATACAATATGCAGTCAAAAAATTATGGGATAATTTTTTATATTTACTTAATTGTTATCATTATTCTATAAGAAACTTTAAAGACTGCCTGCCCCCAAACAATTTGTATATATTAAATAAAGTAATTTAGTTATTCATAATTGTTAGTAAACTTACCTATATATTCCTTTTTCGTTTTTAATGCAATCAAAATTCTTTCCAATACTGATTGAGCTAATCGTGTGGAATCGTAGAATTATTTCATTTACTGATTTGTCTATTAAACTTGCTTGGTTTTTAGTTTACGTTGATTTATTATGATTCCTCAACCTTTTTTTTTAAATTTGTCTCCCAGGATTGTTGTTTGATAAGTAATGAAGTTAATGCAATTAATTTTAGTTCAATAGTGATTATTATTTAGTTAGATGCGATTATTGAAATATGCGTATGTATTGTATCGAGTTGATTCGAATAATTCAATTTCAGTTAATCGAAGATTTTCCAGGAATTCTCAAATTTATCCCGTTTATATTTTCCAGCCAATTGAGCTGTGATTTTTTTGGGTTGTCCCTATGCCTTAAAGTATTAATATTAAAAATTTGTATCAATCTTGTGCGCGTTTCAGTTGCTTATCGAAAATTTAAACATCATTCACGAAATGAGTTTTCTATATAATAAAACACTTCTTATTCAAATAGATTTCAGTTCTTGCTTGCTTTTGTTTTGTGTTTATATGGATATTAAAATTGTTTTGTCATTTCATGTTTTGAATTTTGGTATGTATGAATTTTTTTATGTATGGTAATAATATTTACAATTGGCTTACAATGTTTTCTTTTGCGTTTTCCAACATCGTTAATTATAAACTACCATTTTCCATTCGATTTGTTTTTGTTTAAATTACAAAATTGCTTTAGTCATGGTTTAATGCGTTTCGCCTGTAATTGTGATTCATTGAGTTCAGCGATTCAGGAATTTTCACGAGTTGGTTTTTGACTTTATATTTTAATTTTTCGTATTGTTCTTGTAATTTTCACTCAACCAAATTAAATATTGCTTAATATAATGTATTGTATGTAGGCTTATGTTTGTTTATGCAGTTATCCGGTTTTAGTTCTGCCATCCATTGCCTGTGTTATGCGTGTCGACGGCTATAAAGTGGAGGAGAATAACATTTAGTTTAGTTAATGAAATTAACCATATATTATTCAAACGGCAATAATCACGAGTTTCTCACTTGTTGATAATGGCCCAGAATATCATTCGGTTTTACTCATTCGTACCCCCTTTCCCACAGCCAGTCGCCCACACAATGTGAACATAAAAGTAACCATTGCCATTTATTTTTTGGCACCTGTTATACAGACACACACACATATGTAAATGGAGACAGAGAGCGAGGATGAACGAAAGAGAGCGAGAGAGTTGCACTTGACATGTATCTGAAAGGTACTTTCCATTTTGAATATTGATGGCTTGATGGTCAATTAGCGATTCGCATTCATGCTTCCCTTTTTAGACGATTCGAAAGTAATAGAAATGACAAGATTGGTAGCATAAAAATAAAAATAAAATAGAGGCAGGAAGGATGTACGAAAATATGTGTACAGCTATAACGTGAATGATAATGGTTAAACCGATGCTGATGATGATGGAATTTTCACAAACACACGCACACACACACACACGAGCTCTGGGCCAGAGAGAGGCGCACAAAGAGAGCAAAAAAAGGATACTTTAGACGCTTATGTTTTTTTTTTTTTGCTTTCCCAAAAGTAAGTTTATCAATAAATATAGATTCATGAATAGTTGTTCAATGGGTTTACCTGCTGGAATTATTGTATATATTTTAAATATTTTATTTGCTGGCCGTGTGTGAGTGCGGTCCACACTTGTATTAGTATATATATATATATATATGTGTGTATGATTGTTGTGCACACACACAGAGTCACACACTCACACAGACAGACGCGCGCGCACCGTTAGCGACAGACAACAGGCACACACACGCACAGGCACACGCACACACACCCGGAGAGAGACGCACACGCACGGAGATACGCACGGACACGGACACGGATGCGGACACAGGCTCAGACCACGGGCAGCGCGACAGGACTCTCCGGCTTCGATGGCACACTCTCAACGGCTCCACCGCTCAACCGTCCAACCGTCCAACCGTTCAACCGCTCAATCGTTCAATCGCTCAATCGCTCAGCCGCTGTGCATGGAGGCAGAAGGCAACTGACAGCACAACCCGAAACCGGAACACCAACTGAGCCCGATGCCCGTGCAGCATTGCCAGCCAGGCGGCGCTGGAAGTGCCTGCAGAGTCCTTTGGAGGAGCCGAGCAGGAGCTCGGTCGTCGGCACATCCCACGACACATCCTTGTGCAGAAATTCGAAATCCGAACGCCGCTTGGGGATGCGATGCCGATGTGCACAGGCTGGAGCACACATATACATGCATATACACATATATATGCCACGAGTCCTTGCCAGCCGTCAGGACTCGTGACTCCACGGAGCCTGGAAAGTGCTCGCTGTGGGCAGGTGTGTGTGCGTGTGGCTCTGCCAGCAGCTTTCAAGCTCTTCCCGGAGAGCTTTCATCGGAGGCTGTAAGAGAGCGCCAGGAGATGCGCACTCTGTGTGTACTGGTGTTGGTCACCCCTCCCCACCAATGCGTGTATACAGGGTGCGGGGCGCTCACATCCTGTCGATGCCCATTGCGTTGGTAGTTGTGCGTGGTCAACTCAAGATGTTAGGGAATTTTCTAAACAATTGTATGTGGCATACAAATGTTATAAGGCTTAAGAAACACAGTGGTCTGCTAAATAGCGTTATTAGGACGAATGCTCTATTTACTTTATTTTCATAATTAATTTCCTTTCTGACGGCCTTATTGGGTGATAAAAAACAGTTAACCAGTTTACAAATTGGGACTCATATGATACAATAACATTTCATAAAGCGTTGTTCAATAGGAAACGTAATATATAGACTATTTTTTACAATTTCACTTAAATATAATAAGCAATAAAATCGATCAAATCAGAAGGTAATTTTTGCATCGTCTAAAAAATAAGTTTTTATGTATATTTTAGGGTGCTAAATTATAAATAATATATAACTTTCAAACTATATAATAATATTATAGGTTTATTTTAGAAGTTATTTATTGTAATGAAGAAATGTAACTTTGTTTAAGAGTTAACAAAGTTGTATAGTTTTAACAGAGTCAAAAATATTATCCTCAGATATTATAAAATTTAAATAATTTGTATTTATTCATAACCCTCAAACTCTTGTGTCCATCAGCTTCATTTTGACACTCTAGCCAACTTGACCTACTGCTGCCGATTCTCACCTTCATCAATTCAATCAAAACTAATTTGAATGTCTTGCAAATGCATGGAGCACATTCATTCATACACGCAATGCCAAATACACGATACAAGAGCTTACACCCATACCAATGTGCGGTTACACGGACACACAAACGCACGGACACCGTGCACCCATACAGACGCAGCATGCGTAGGTCCAGAGCCAAAAATGATTTATGACCCCACAAAAAAATTAATTTAAAGTAAGTTCGTATGAATGAAAAATGGCTTTTACAAACGCAAAACTACAGGGCACCCGCAGAGCAAGCAAATGAGAGCGAAAGGGGCAGGAAGTGGAGAAAGTGAGAGAGAAGGATGCTGCAAAGCGTTAATACTTGTTCTAACCAAGCTGTGTGCTTTAGCTCTCTTCGGGCCAAGACACTTGTGGGCAGCTGTCTCTTAAGGACCTCTGTTTGCCGAGCTTTAAGCTCTTCGGTGCCTTCCATTGCAGTTATCCCTGTTTGTCCTTCCAGTGGCTCTCAAACCGTTTCGGGTCGCGCACCCGACGGCAAAGTGAACGAAGGACAAAGGAGGCACAGGTCCTGCTCGGCTTTCCCTGCTCACATTTTCTCGCACTTCTGCCATCGGTTGGTATCCATGAATGAAGGCTGCCGATAATGCCAGTATTTGCGCCGGGAACGCAGCAAAGAGCAGACGGGCTGTGGCCGCAGGACATGCATCCGCTCCACTTCCCACACCCCCTGCCGCGCCCAAAAAACCCGTCGGGCGGATCTTGCATCTAACAAAAGCAGCGCATGTCGCACCGTTTTTGCCTGATTTACATTTTTGATTATCCAGCTTAGCCATATACTTGATTACGTATACGCAATTTTTTGCTCGCCTTTCGTTGCATATCTCACATGCACGCACGTATTTTAATTAACCAGTGGTTTTCGGTTCAGAAATTTGTAGTACGTTTTATGGAAGTTTTTTAATTTTATAAAGTCCTTTGCATGCTTATTTGCTTGGTTTCGACATTTAGAACAAAATTCTATTAAAATATTACCTAAGAAAGTAATACCTCTTTTATTTATGAAATGAATGTATATACAAATTTTAACAGGGTATTTAGAAACTCTTAACCCGTAAAAACTTAAAACTTTATTATTATTAATAATTTTATATATGTAGTCTTATGATCATTAATGGTTCAGTACTTGCTATTTCTTTTATAATTATTGAAATGCTAGTGCTGTGAAAATGCTTGCTATAAATAAAATACCAAGAGCTAATTGAACCTGATTATTTCCGATTAGTTCCCACACTATAATTGAATGAAAAATGCTAACTAGAGTTGAGGCTAAGCGGAAGGCTAATTAATTTCCTCTCTCTATTCCCATCTTATTCCGGCTCAGTTCTCCGTCAGTGACTTTCGCCCATTGTTGTTGGCTTTTGTCGCGGGCTCGGGCTCTTTCAATTGCTTCATTTTTATCACAAACAAAAACACACACTGACTCGCTTCTTGTGGCTGTGTCAACCGCCATCTAAGTGGCCTGCTCCAGTATCTCTGTGCATGTGTATCCTTGTGCCGCCCATCCTGGCTCCTCCTCCTTTTTGGCCCGGTCCACATTGCTTTGTTTGTGCGGATTTTATTTAATTTGCTTGGCACTTTGTTTGCCTGCCTGTTGGCTTATTTGTTTTGATTTTTCATGCTTCGTGTTTTCGCTGGCGTTTTGGGTTTTCCCTCAGTTTATTGTTTGCTGCCTTTGTGGGCTGCTGCTTTCAGTTGTCTTAACCTTTGCCTTGGCTGAAAGATTGTACGAATGTTTGCAAGTGATTCCAAAAAATGAGGAAGATATCAAACAAGTATAGCACTGTGTCGTAATTGAATAGTTTGGCGTCTCTTTAAATGCATTTTACGAATTTAATATTCGCCGAAACCCAAACTCGCCAATCAATCGCCCCGAGTTGACCCATTTAACCGATGTCCATTCCATGCAAACCAATGTCCATTTGCCTCGGTCAAACCCATACCCCAATCCCTTTAGATGTCTGCTCCACTTGGCAGCACTGCTCAAATATTAATTCATATCAAGGTTTTGGCATTCATTTTCAATCCAACGCTGCCACACGCCCGCAAATCTCTTTTCCCTTGGCCCAGTTCATTTCGTTTTGGGATCGTGTAATGAAATTTAAGCAGAATTGTAAACAAAGTTGTGCAATAAAATCAACAAACCGCAACTAAACTGCAATTTAGAGCGGAGACCATGGAATGCACACCATGATAAAGGCAGTGGCAAGGCTTTATATTTTAAAAGTAAGACATCTGGAATCTGGTTTTTTTCACCAGCCATTTGCACGACACCATTTTGCACCGAGTGCAGCCAGTGAAATCAGGCTGCATTTTTGGCGAAAAGAAAGTGCCAAAAAAGCGAAAAAAATGAAAGGACGGCAATTTCATTGGGGAAGCACTCAAACAAGGACACACGGGAACTCCATTTGAGGCTCGGCCAAATTGACAGTTCCTGGGAATTCACCGTGACACTCAATTGTTTCAATTTGCTGATCTGATTTTTCGATAATTTATGCAGCTTGATTTCGTTTCCCACTTTCTGCTTATTCACTTTTCCAATTGATTTCGTGACTGTCAAATGAATTGTCGCCGGGCGGGAATTTCTCTCTCATCTTTTGGCTCTCTGCTTTTAACCGAAAACAGTGTCGAGGACATCGCAGCTTAAAAATAGTTCAGCCAATAATCGAGGAATTTAATTTGGTTTGACGCTTAGAGTTAATAAAAGAAAGAAGAGGTTTATACATTTTTAAAATAGAACGAATTGAATTACTAGAAAAACTATCCCTTTTTGATCAACTGAGTAAAATAAAATTAAATATTTATTGAACGAATATATTCTTTAAGCGATAAAAATGTCATAGTTGTTCAAATTTTAAATAAGTTAGTCGACTTTTCTTCGTCATTCCCATATTCCCCTTAACATATTACTCAAAAGCATTAAATGACACGACTGATATAATTGCATTGGCACTTGATGTTCAATGCTCATTTGGCATTTCATATCGATGCTCGCTGCACATTATTCATTTCCAACCAAGTCAAACATGATAAATGAAATGCGAAGGAAGGAAATTTATTGGCGATGCAGTTGCCTTGGCGATATGGTGCGCTGTATTGAAAGCGGCTTATCAGCCGAGGTAAAAAACAGAAAGAATATCAAACGGGGCAAAGACTTTATCGCAATTTTAATCCGTATGGAGCAGCCGGAAGTTTAACCAACTGCAGCAACTTTCGAGGCGTGGCACCTGAACGTGAATATTCCATTAAGCTCTCTTCAATGCCACTCCATCCCTCAAATTATACTTCTTCAACGGGTATCTCTACATAAAAATAAATTTTAGCTTAAACAATTAATTCATATGGGCTTAGAATTGTATTTCAAATGTTGTTTAAACTAAACAAATCAATAATGATAAGTTGGACTTTGCTTGGCAATTAAAATTATTTCAATATATAAGATATTTGCAACGAAACAAATTTATATGTTCTGGACTTTAATAAATAATTAAACCTCAATATGTGCCGTCTTAGGTTACTCAATTATTATAGGTATTTTGTATCTAACAGTTAGCTTGGGTCTATTAAATTATTAGCTCTAAAGGATCGATATTTCTAGTAGGGTATTTATGGCTGCAGTTCTGAAAACGATATTTTCATTGCTCGGTCACTGTTCTGGCTTTCCTCTGTTTGTACTCCGCCTGCTTCGTTCTGGTTGCTTTAATGCAATAATCCTTGAATGTCGGACGCACGAACGAGTTGATAACAATTTCAATTTTTATGACAAGTCAACTTGGCCAGCCATCCAACGACGAGCAGCCAGTTATACGGCAACAACGTAAGGGCCAAACGAAACGAACTCAATCGTGCCGATGGCGAACAATAATAATAAGAACAGCAACAATAATAGCATGGCCGATTGCACCATTACCGCTCTGGAAACCCTCCTCTCCATTGGCCATTACTGGCGCCCGCATTTTCCGCTCTATATATATATATATATATATATGTTCCGACATATATGCAGCCTGCAGTCTGCAGCCGGAGCGTTATGATTTATTGGCATGCAACACGGCGTTCTCCTCCGGAAATGTGTGTGCAGTCAACCATTTTGATGCGAGAAAGGCGTGGAGTGGGCGGAAGGGCGGCTTTATTACGGCTGTTGCCGCCGAGTAATCCGAGATATCACTCAATTCGCCTTTTGCACACAACTGTCAACAAATTTACATCTCCATCCATCTGCAATGACAGAGCAGGACCCAGATCACATTCCAAGCTTTCTGACGCTTAATGGCTTAATCTTAGCCATAAGAAAGATAAATAATACTTCAAGCACTGTCAGAGAACTTGATCAATTTTATTAAAACTTCATGACAGTTAGCAAAAGTCTACAATTTATGAGAAAACTTGATCAATGAATCTTTCATAATTGCAGACTTTTGCAAGTTACGCAACGAAGTTTTTATAAAATTCATCAAGTTCTCTGACAGTGTTCCTGCTAAATAATATTAAAGCTATAAAAGGATTAAAAGAAACACATTTCCTTTTTCATTGTTAAAGATTAACATCAAAAACCTTAAAAAAATCTTTTTACATTTCCAAAGAAAACACACTTTAATTAAATTGAACATGAGCTCCGATTTTAATCTGGATTTCTTACAATTCTCTCATTTAGACAACTCTCAGGTTAGTTATTTCCTATTCTGAACTGAATTCCGAATTAAAATTTGCATGCAAAACTTTTCACTCAATTCATATTCATTTTATTTCGGCTTATGTCCGACTACCACCGCAAATCCCCAGAAAATTACGTCGATTATTCAATCATTTTGCCATCATCCATTTTGCAAATCCTTTTTTAGCAGTTGGCCGTTGGACGGACACGACTCTGATTTGTTGAAAGTTTCGTTGTCAGCAGCAATTAAAACAACACCGCCCACGCCCCGGATTCCCCCCCGGTTTTCCGCCCACTAAAAAATGCACTGAAATTACGAGAGTTGTGCAGCATGGCAAACAAAAACACAGAGAATCGTGGAACAAAAACAAATTGGGCGACCGCAAATGGAATGTTTTCACAGGCCTGGAACCGGGATTGAAATAGGAACTAGGACTCGGTTCAGGGGAACTGAAATGAAATTAAATACGAAAAAGCATGGGCCGGAAAAGAGCCACTGCCCAGCGGCGAAAATACATGTGAATGTGGCTTGAAAGTCAGTCAGTTCCAGAGCGATTTCAGGTCCGTGTCCCTGTCCTTATCCGTATCCGCATACGTGTCCGGGTCCGAGTCCGGGTCCGGGTCCGTTCTCTCGTTCATTGTTGGCATGCCAAAATTTTAACTGCACACCAAATAAACAAACACTGGCACATACAAACTGCCAGCAGAAATTGTTGTGACTGCAAGCCCAGAATGGAAACACGAACTAAATGCAGTCTTGTGTTTCCGGCAATGAAAACTTTTCAACTTTCAAGAATACTTACTTACGCTATGAAAAACATATTTTAGAGTCCTTTGAAAATTGAAAGCAACTTAAAAGTGCAACAATAATAACGTTGTTTTTACTCAATTCAATATAGTACTCACACTTTTTCGGGGCATGAAAAATGATTGTGCTCCATTGTATTTGTTGTCTCAGTAAATAGCGCAAAAATTCTATTAAATGTGAAAAGGAAAAAGATTCGGCCAGGGAACTACGCTCAATTTTTGCTACCCGTTGTTTGGACTTTTTCAACCTTCAGAATTGCAATTACAATGAGCCCTGGGTAACACAGAGGAAGTTGGAGTTCGGTCAGGGACATGCATTCCGGATGAGTCCTGTGTGGGAGTTTGGCAAAGAAAAACTGTACTCCCACGTATAAAAAGGACAATGAGCTCTTTGAAATATTAATAGAAAAGAAAAAGCAAGTCCTCTGATTTCAAGGGAAATTAATATGCAGTAAGTTTGGCAAAGCAATTAAAAATTAAAAAACGGCTATGTAAAGTATGGAACGAAAACCAGTAAACATTCTTATATTTTTTACACAAGGTATTGCTTTATTTAGCAGAAAATACAGTTTCCCAGAAATTAAGTAATATAATAGCTTATAAATAACAGCCACAACAAAATTTATTGGTATGAATAAATTCAATAAAGCCATCAAAGGTAAGTTAATTAAGAGGAAAAACAATTTTAAGGTCATAATAGCAAGTAAATGCATTTTAAGTTTGCCTTTTGCTGGCTGGAATCTCTAAAGTCAACTGACTTAAGTTGGATCCTTTCCACAGACTTAATTTGTCATAAATATGATTCGTAAAAGTAAATAATATGGCACTTTCATGTTCATCGTATGAAAATGAAAGAAATCAGAGAGACGCAAGAGCAGACAAAACCGGAAGCAAATTTATTTTGCGGAACTAAATTGAAATAATTTTGGCAGCTGAAATATGTAAGAAAATATTTGAATACCCATATATACACACTCAAAAATGGAGGGTCCCTGCAATAGAGTTGGGAATCCCAGACTTGCTGGCAAATAAAAACAGTTTGGTAAGTGTGCAGATATCCCTTTTCCCTTGCCCTCCACTTTTCCTGAACTCCCGACCATCTGCAATGCTTCTGGCAAATGTGTTAGCCGTCCTCTGCCTTCTGCGTTCTCCAGCTGGCATTTGGCCAAGTCTTCGTAATTTCTTCTTTTTTATTGCATTGGCCAAAAAGGAAAATGCAGCTAAAGCGCCGAGAAGGCAAACAAACAAGCGGCAGACAAGGAGTACATATTAAATTTGTCATTTTAGCGCAAGGACCGAGTTTGTATCTGCGGGGACATTGAAGTCAAAGTTCGTCCGCCTCTCCAAGTTTTTTGTGTTAGTAAAATTTAAAACCGCATTTAGACAGGGAAATTGTATTCAATTGGCTTTACCAAAAGAAGAAAAACGTTTAAGCAAGCTATAGAAAAACTTGCAGACGTGCCAATCGGCGAATACTTAATATTCAAATATAGTTTTTTCGGCTGCCTAAAAGTATGCTACGAAATACATTAAATTTTCGGCTACGTTATTTTTATCTGCCAAGGAAGGTTCATTTATCCCGTTCTAAAAATTAATGAATGCCTTGCATTAGTTTTGTATATTTTTGCATCTCTTGCCTTACAAAAAATCCAAGATATAGCTGACTGTACTAGCTAAGTGTATTATTATTTGACCTAAACCCAATAAATTTCTTTTAATTTAGTTCTCAGTGGCGAGCTTCCTTGATCGCCCAGGTCAACCGCACTGCAATTATATGCTGATGGCATTGAGATTGCTTCAGGATTGCATTCTCGTTCAGTTGCTAAGCCTTTTAAATTCGCCACCCAGGACGCTCCCACATTTCAATTTCAATTTGCACGCCAACTAAAGCAACAAGGACAGCTACATATTCTGGCACAGACTCAACGTTTGCATTAATAAACATCGCAACAATGTGGCAACAGGCGAGTTTGCACAGTCATAATCGTTTTATTTGGGGAGGTTCTGGTTGTGTTCAATATCTGTGCCTGAACATTTCAGTGGACTGCAGAGTTTGTTGCGGCTTTTATGCTGTGGTTATTCCCTTCTCCAGGACTGCGTTCATTCCCCAACCAATTCTCACTCCCGTGCCTCATGTGCATTCATATACACTTTCGTAATGCCGTCAAAATCAGCAAATAGGATAAAGTAAATGTTGAAATGCAGGTGAAAAACAAACAAACCAAACCCAAATCGACCCGCAGAGATAAAAACAGGGAGAAAGCGAAGAGATTTCAACTGTGCAGTTGTACATTTTAATTGAAATATACATAGGTGTTTGGACAAATGCGCTTTGCATAGTTCTCATTCCAACTGCAATGACATATTGTTTAAATTCCTGTTATACATTTTATTTTGTTTTACGTAATTTCACTGGCGTATAAAATTCAATAAAGATGAGTAAATAAAACTATTTAAATAATGTATGTAGCTTTAATATTAATAAATACTTGTGAGTAAAAAAATACATTTATTTAAATTTCAAAAACAATAACATTTGCAAATTAAAATCTTCGCACAAAGAAAATGGTCCATAAAATTTGACGATTTAGAGGCAAAAATTACCCTGACATGCTATAAAGTGAATAAAACACTTTAAAAAGTATAAGCTTAACCATATATGTTTAATACGATTCTAGTTCTATGTAAATAGTTAATATTATAAAAATGTATGGCCCAGCCTATATTGTGTGTTATCTACCTGATGCATTTTGCGAGTTCTTGAACAGTAGCTGAGCTTTTTTCAAAGTTGACTGAAATGTAGGCAAATGTTTTCTCTTGGCAAACGCCGACCAGTTGATTAGCTATCTTGACGGGTTGTCGGCTGGCTCCGCGATCTGCTGCAATAAGATAAGGGCTTTAGTTACAGAGGCCCAGATCCAAGTGGTTAGTCTCCGGCGAATAGTGTTACGCGATGTACCCACTTCCATTAAGTCTCCTGCTGCTGATCCTTAGCTTCAGCTTCAGAGTGAGTTCCCTGCAGTTGAGCAAATGCAATAAGACCGAGGTGACGTTGATAAGGGACACGGAGCTCCTGACATCACTCACCTTGAGCAACTGCAGCCTGTCGCATCTGGAAAACGCCTTCTTTGTGCGCTTCGACCATCTGCTTCATTTGGAGCTGCAACATAGTGGACTGAGTGCTTTGGATGTCTTTTCGCTTAATGGTCTGACCAGGCTGCAATACCTCTCACTCTCTCACAACAATCTGAGCACTCTGAGATCCTGGTCAAGTGAACCCCTGGGAGCCCTCACCAACCTGGACCTAAGTCACAATAGATTGAGCAAGTTGAGTGCCAGAAGTTTTGAACCATATCCCCAGCTGCAACAACTCGACTTGCGAAACAACCAGATCAATGAAATCGAGGAGGATTCCTTTTATGGATTACCCCATTTAAAGCATCTGCACCTGAATGGAAATCAACTGCAACACTTAGATGGCAGCTTCTTTCGGGGACTTCATCGCCTCTCAAGTCTATCAGTTCAGCATAATCTTATAGACAGCATTGAGATGGAATCCTTCGAGAGTAATACCCATCTTCGAAGCCTACGGTTGGATCAAAATCTTCTGAGCAGTCTTCAATTTCTCAGTCAACGAGGTCTTGCCCGACTGGTTCACTTGAATCTATCGAATAATCGTGTGCAAAAACTAGAGCCACTTCAATTCTCTAAAAACTTTGAGCTGCAGGACCTGGACTTGAGTTTCAATAACTTAACTAAACTTAATAAGGAGGCTTTATCGGGCTTGGACTCATTGGAAGTGAGTTTTTATGTTAATTTCTATATTTTGTATGCAGTAACAAAACTACACATTATTATATTTTTTCTTTAATCCAGCGGCTAAATATAAGCCATAACTTTGTGGACACCGTTGATAATGAAAGCCTGAACTCCCTTGTCACTCTTCTTCAAATTGATGTCAGTTTTAATCGACTGATCACAATACCCAAGAGCTTATTCGAAAATAACACCCAGCTGGAGGAGATTATACTCGCTAACAACCAAATTGGAAAGTTATCCCCTCAGACGTTTCACAAGCAAAATCATTTGAGATACTTAAAGTTGAGTGGAAACGCACTAGGTGAAGCTGATTTCCTTCAAGGACTGTCTCCGTCCCTCAACAGTATTTCTCTCTACGTGGATCTCAGCACGAATCGCCTTAAGTCGGTCAATCTAAGCAGTCTTCTCCACTTTCGTTATCTAAATCTGGCCAATAACAACTGGAACTGCGCCTGGTTAGTAGCAAATTTGGTGCGTAAACTGCCAGCCTCTGTGAATTTCGCACGACCCTGGACTGTGATTAATGATTGGAGTAAAAATATTACCAATATTGAGGGAGTGGACTGCTCGGAGGGAGAAAGAAATCGCTCTATCATATTGCTGGATGTGAGTACGCTTCCCCATCAAAAGACAGGCAATTGTGAATGTGGGGTAAGTGAAAGCCAACATTTCCGACGGTTTGATAATTTTTCAGTATATTTTTCTTTAGCAAACTTATGATCAGAGCAATCCATCGCCACCTCCTCTTACCTGGCCCAAGATACCCACAGATCGCTTCGACTCGCGATCGGTGATCATCTGGATGCTGGTGGCTATTGCAATTGCCTTCGCAGGACTCCGTTGGTTGCGACGATTCGTGGATCGAAATGAGAAATCTAAACTCGGGAACAAGCTTAACAATGTGGTTTGTTGAAATCTTTTGAAGTTGATTGAAATAAAAAATGGCAGTGCATTCTAGCCAAAGCATAGATTTTTAGGCCAATAAATATAAATCAAAGGTGTTTCCAAATTTTGATATAATATCCAAGCGCATTCTTATTCTTAATTTAAAAAAAAATTATTGTATACAGACAAATTTAATTCATTTCATTTTATTATCAATAACCCCCTTGTTTATTGCAGTACATCAGCAAAGTTCAGTGGCAGCCCGTCAGAAACGATCTCGAGAGATCGTAGCCCTATCTAAAAATAAAATCTCCATCGTTTTAATCAACAAATATATTGAGTTCATTAGGTCTTAAAATATAAGAGAATTGTGTGTTAATAATGATTACAGTGTAAAGTTTGAGAAATAAAATATAGATTTAAGATAAATATGCGTTACTTTTTACTTGTACAGACGCTCAATGACTTGGGCATATTTTGCGTGGACAATATTTCGCCTGATCTTTAGCGTGGGACCCAGTTCTCCGGTGGCCAGTGAGAATTCGTGGGGGATGAGGGCGAACTTCTGCACCTTCTGGGCATTCGAGATGGCGTGTTTATTGGCCCGCTTAATGCCTTCCTCGATGGCCTCCAGGAGCTTCGGCTCAGCTGTGATCTCCAGAGCAGCCGCCTGAGCAGCATTATCGCTAGGAAGCTGGAGATCGGATTGAATGCTCAGGAGTTCGGAGAGACGGGTCTCATGGATGTCCAGATCCCGTAGCCACTCGATCGTCTCCTCCCGCAATGCATCCAGGGGAAGTCCCGTCTTGCCATCAGACTTGGTCTTTAGAGATATCAACACTGACAGATACTTGCGATGATCGCCGATCAGTAGCACATTGCTAACGCAGGGAAGCTCTTTCTTGATCAGCTCCTCGATGTGCACCGGTGGAATATTCTCCCCGCCGGCGGTGATGATCAGTTCCTTGAGTCGACCGGAGATCACCAGATTTTCCTTAGGATCGAAATAGCCCAAGTCGCCGGATAGCAGCCAGCCCTCCTCATTGATCGTTTCTTCAGTCTTCTCCGGCAATCCCAGGTAGCCCATGAATATGCTACGACCCCGCATCAAGATCTCCCCCTGGCCATTGCAATCGGGATCCTGGATCTTCAGAGTCAGTCCCTCGCACGCTCGACCCGCACTGTATAAATTGTTGATATCCACATTCAGGGTGATGGCTCCACCACTCTCCGACATTCCATAGCACTCGCCCAGTGGCATGTCCAGACCCAGGAAGAACTGCTTCATCTCATCCGAAGTGGGAGCTCCGCCGGTCAGAAAAACACGGCAGTTGTCCAGACCTATCATCTCACGAATGGGTTTTATGACGCGAGAGGCTAGCCAATATTTAGTACGGCCATAAATGGATGGTGTTTTTCTGAAATACGGAAATATAATTATTAAGTAAGGGAAATTTGAATTCAATAAATATATTTTTATTAAATTGTGCAACTTAACATTTAAATTCATATTACTGATATTTAAAGTACAAAATATATATTTATTTCTATGGTCTTAGACTATGTTTTAGTCTCTATCTTTATTAAATTTGTAACTGTACATCCCATTTCGAAATTTGATGGTTTCTTGTTATTTTCTAGCTAGCTCCCAACAATTACTTTTTGATTGGGCTTATATTTGGTTCAATAGGTGAAGTCTATGCTTTCAAAAAAGTATCTTAGATAGGTCATGAACAAACTAAACTTTTAAATAAATATTAAGTTCTTAATGGGGGAATTAAATAAATTGCACTGTACAAAACTAAACGCTTTAGTTTCAAAATACTGATAGCACTTACATTTCGACTATTTGTTTGAATTTTGTAAGAAATGGATTGTAGAGTAGCTCGACTTACCCCGCCATCAGCGTTATCTGGTGCTCAGCGACAGCAGCCCTTGCCTGAGCCAAAAGCAGTCGGGAATAGGGTCTCGCTTTTGCCTCCGCGGCCACCAGACGTTCCTGTAGTTTCTCGAAAACGCGTGGGACACCGAACATTTTCGTGGGCCTCGCCTTTCGAAAGGTTTTGATCAGCGTTCCCTTGAGCGCATCCTTGTCCGCAAACGTAACACATCCGGCATGTGATGGACCCAGAAATACGTCGAAAATCTGGGCAGCCACATGACTCAAAGGGAGGTAGCTCACGAAGCTCTCCTTGCCGATTTGCACATCCTGCAGACCTGCCGCCGCGGACTTGGTGTCGAAAATGATGTTGTCATGGGACAGCATTACCGCCTTGGGCATTCCCACCGTTCCCGAGGTGAAGATCAGCATGGCACACTCGTTGGCACGAACCCTGCTCTCGCGGGCCACCAGTTCCTCTTTGAGTTCGCTGGAGAAGGTCCGCTCCTGCAGCTTCTGCCAGCTGAAGTAGCCGGGTTCCTGGTCGACGAAGTTCTCGAAGGGTCCGTGCAGCTGAATCACTGCCTTGAGCAGTGGCAGACGTTCCTTGATCGCCCTCAACTTGGCCATCTGCTGGGCATCGTCCACCACGCAAACGGAGGACTCTCCGGTGGCAAGGACATGATAAACAGCCTCCGCCGAGTTGCTTGGATAAATTCCAGCTACCACGGCTCCAGCTTGTAAGGCTCCGAACTCGGCAAAGAACCATTCAGGACAATTGAAGGCCAGGATGCCCACTGAACTGCGTTCCTCCACTCCAACGCTCAGCAGCATCAGGGCTGCCTGCTCCACTCGCTGCTGGTACTCGGCATAGGTCAATGTGGTCCAACCATCGACTCCTGATCCTGGGGTTTCCCACACCAAGGCAGGCAGATCCGCATACTTTTCACACGCCTCCCTGAAGAACTGGGGAATCGTCTGTGGCAGGACGGTCTTCGAAAAGGATCCCGGCTCGTCCAGGCGCAGTTTGACGGCCTCGTGAAGCGAGGTGCTCGTATAACTCGTGGCTGACTTGAGGTCGTTCATGCTGAAGGCGATCGCGACGAATAAACGCGGTTAGGTTCATGCCACGGGTATTTATGCCCTCGCCTCCAGATGCTGATAAGCGCGGACTTATACAGCAGGCAGAGAAGAGGCAGATTCCAGCCGAGCACTGTGGGTTTTGGGATTTCAAGAACATCAAATATACCGACAGACAGGCAAATTCGGCTGATCATTCTGATCCATTCGCTATTTAAAAATCAGATTAACCACTATAAGTCCAACAAAACAGGATATCTCACTAGTCAAAAATATACCAACAAGAAAAATCGTATTTAAATTTAAAGATCTAGAAAATATAATATGAACTTATAATATTCAATATACCTGAACCACAGTAGAGTAATAAATAGGTTACCGGCTTTGACAATCACTTGAGCAATTGGCAAAGATTAGTCAAGAGTTCTTGTTCCATTATTTGAAATACATTGTCTGACCTTTAGACACGTGCGAGGAGTTTGGGGTGGGGTCGGTATTTTACTGATAAGGGAATACAGGCTTGGTCTGATGCTCTCTGTGGCAACAAACCTTTAAGACTGATGCCGATTGTAATTATCAGCGGTCTCGCGTCCGAAAATTCGGGGCACGTAATTTAGAACCATTACGAAGAATATTTTTACGATTTCTATAAGTACAAAGGTCACTTGAAGATAGAATATGGGATTTGTTGTTTTAAAATTTAAATGTATTCATTCAATATACTAGGGTGTATGTTTTAAAATTAAAATGTTTTATTTGGAATGTACTGGGGTGAACTTATTGAGAATATTTATTTATTAATCGATGTAAGCATCTTTAGGACTACGAGAAAATATTGAGATACGATCTTTCATGCAGTAATTTGACAATGTTTACAATGATCACTGATGATAAGCTGCAAATCATAACTGACCTTCGACAAGGACTATCCCTTTAAGACCTATATTACTATAGAAACTTTATTTTTCCCCTCCAAATTTTGATAATATTTTTGCTTACGAGAACTTGTATATTAGATATAAAAATCGTTCTCTTATTAAAAGCAATGTTATTTCAATACAAAACTGACCTTCGACAAGCGGAGGGCAGGGCTGACTTTGAAACAGGTAGAAGCAATTCATAATTGGGTTACCCCGGCAGACCGACACATATGTGGAAAAAGACCCATACGCCCCGTGGCCAGGTACTGCAGCTGTGTGGGAAACATGGTTTTACGGGCGATAAACCCCCTCCAGAACCCGTACTCCCCAGTTGGTCAGTCGGGCGCATTAGACATATGCCATACACACACGCACTTCGTCACATATAGAGGGAGAGAAAAACTTTCACACAGGCCACAGCTGAAGCTGAAAACAACAAATCGCAGACGAGCTTCCACCGGCTTCACTTTTCTGGGCGCCTGTTCCACGAACAGTCATTTTTTGTACAAATTTATAATTTATTGTTTAATTTATTTTATTGCTAAGTGTCAAATGGTGCGGCCATTCGCTACATACACTGAAATTCATTCGCCATATGTGGTGACTTTGGGACAGGCGATAAAACGAAAATATTATTAACTCAAATGTAATTGTTGCAATTTTCAGCTTATCTTTTGTTATGCTCGCAACAACAACATTATTATGAAATTATTTACCAATGAACAGCAGCTCATGAATGGGTAACAAGTGCACCCATTGTCAGTGGGCTTAAGGCGGCACTGAGGGGTTTGGCCGGGGTCTTTATTGCATCAAAACTACAACACAAATAGTTGCAATATTCTGTTTTCCTCGCTTGTTTTTTTTCATTCCACTCGCAACTATATAAATATATATGTATTTTTTGAGTGAGAGTGCGGCATGTGTAACGGTACATGGGACTTATATCAACTAATGTCAGGAAAGAATAAAAATCCGAATATATAAATATATGCGGGCAGGGGCTTGAAGGGGCGCCAAAGTAGATGTAATCGTATGTACGGAATCTAGTGCAAACATGGCCGCAGAGGCATGTAAAAAGGAAAAGCCCACCTTAAATGCGAACTAGCAATAAAGCTAACAATAAAGTGGACATTCAGAAAACATCGCATTCCGTTAGGGTGGTTCAGAAAGAAGGACTTAAACGCTAGAGTCCTTGAACGCACAAAAAGATAGTACGCTTACCTTATTTATTTTAGTTATTATTTGATAAGCAAGGGAATTCCTTTAAATCAGGAAAATGTTACTAAATTGACAGGAAATCTATCAGTCGCCAATCTGCTATTTAGCCTTAGTTTTAGTTATTATTATCTTTGTTTCTTTTATCATGGTCCAGCCTAAATAAAGTGGCACATTGTTTCGGTCAACCATTTGACTACGAATCGTTACATCGACAGATACAGCTGCACATACTCAAATGGACGGGCGCACTTGGCGGATACGTATTGAAATGGATTTGCCATATCTTCGGCTGTGGCCAGAGACTACATCGATATGCAAACCCTCGACCATTCATCCGATCGACCCGGCATATGTAACAATATGTTCTGTACATATTTACACGCACATCGAGTGACCTAATGTGCGGGCAGTGGGCGTGGCAGGGGCGTTGGGCTTGGGATTGAGCTGGCAACTGGATGGTGGCGCATGTCTGGGACTTTTGTAGATTTGTTTGTGTACATATAGATATAGCGAAACCACCCGGCGCACAGCATTGATTAGCAGGCGTGAAAGAGCCGAGCCAAAGCGAAAAGTTCATGCGAGCAAAGCAGCAGCACGAGCAACAATAACAACTAGCAGCAAACAAACAAGTACACACAACAATAAGGAAACACATTCGTGCACATACAAGGGGCTACACACACACACACACCCGACTAGAAGGGGGGCTCAAAGGGGGCGGTACAGATAAACAGCATTTATATTCATGTACCACCAGCAACAGAAACAACAACACATCGCAGACATAAAAAGCGAAACGAAAATCAAATAACATGTGTACATATTGACAAACAAGCGGACGACCGACATATGCACATATATATGAACCAGTACAAGTAGGTACATATGTATGTACGTCCCCCTGCAACTCATTCAAACTCATTTCTATACAAACATATCATCAGCTGTACTCGGAACCCAGTCCTCTCTCGCTCTCCCCGATTCTGGTTCTATATCTATATCTTTGACTTTGCCTTTGCCCCTCCATCGGATCTGAGTGGTCAACCAGCCACATACATAAGTAGCAATTACAATGGCAACCGGTATTTAAAACTGTTTTTAATAAGTATTCGCACTAGCACGAAACTGATACGACGTCTAATCCAAGTCCAATGCCCAGGTGACGAAACCGTCATAATAGCAACTGGAATCTAAATTATGCCCCGACCATGAAATACCCTGTACCTGCGGATATGTATAAAGTTCTTGTTAACGAAAACGGAAGCTTACTTCGACAAGGTGGAGTTTTAATAGTACTTTCTACGAAGTTATCTTTTTTTCTTGGTCTTAAAATCTTCTGAAAATGTTTCCCTTCAATACATTGGACTGGTGGAAACCCGTAATAAAACTAGACGAATGCGGAAAAATGCAAGCTCATCTGCAATTAAATTTGCATTAAAGTCTAAAAAATAAAATAACGATGTTGGCCCCCTTTCGATTCTGTCGTCAGCAGAGTCACAAGATCACTTCGAGTGCATTTGACTGATAATTCCAGAAGTTAATCAGTTCGAGTGCACCGGGCATCTGAGCAGCCCCCATAATAGTCATCATTACAGTCACTAATCGTCGAGTTATCACCCATCCATCATTCATTCACGCACCGATTGTGGAGTAATACTCTCCCTTTCTATCGCTCCATCTATCTCTCAAAAGCCCGTTGTTTTTAATGATGATTTTCTGTCGTCATTGTTGATCAGTGGAAAATTCTGAAGTCGCTTCTAGACCAAATGGTATTGATGGCCGTAGAGCAGAGATTATGCTTAATCATGGAAAGTAACCGATGACAGTCGTAATATTTTCAAAAGGATCAGAACTCCTCTCTCCGCAGACCGAGAAAAGTTTGAAATTTTATTAATCAGGACCTTTAAATTTCATTTAAAGCTGTTTCCGAAATTAAATGAATAGAACTTATGACAAAAATAATTTAAAATAAAAAATTTCATATAAAAACCCATTTAAAATTTAAATATTATTCGTCATTTAAAACTTAAATTTAGAGCTTTATCAGCTCTACTTAAAAGAGCCATAAAACAATTTTTTCTTTCCAAAAATGAATTTGTCAACATGTTAATTATTTCGTATCAGCTGTAAAAAATATTTTGCCAATTTATGTATTATTATTAATACATGTTATAAAAACAAACAGAATTTGAATTTTAAAGAATTAAAATTTTCCGAAACTGGGAACACGGCTGATCTCTTGGTGATATGGCCACCTTTTCCGACCGCTTCTGTGGGAGACCTCTCCCACTTTTTCGGCATCGTCTGTCGGCGATACGCCAAACGCCACCAGCCGATAATCACAACAAATAAAGTTGTTGCTCCTCGGAGGTCGTTGTTGTTGCAGTGCCGCTGACTGCGACGCTGGCTGCGAATGATGGCGTGCCGGTGAGCAATTTCCATGAGCTCTGCTGCGTCATCACCGCCGGCATACAACAACACACATGCTGATTGGCATGCGAACAGGTCGCACTGCCTACATACAGTTACATATGTCTTACATACTCGGATGTTTTTACACTGAGAAAAACGAAACTATTTTACTCAAGTAAAAATTAATATTAGTTTTATTTTTACTAAAATATTAATACAATTTTTGAAATCTTTCGATTTTTTATATTATTAGTAGTTTGGAATTTTTTGAATAGATTAAACTTGTTTTGGTCAAACACCACATCTTATATTTTATTCTAAGAAATCTGCACTTGAGAATTATAATAACAAACTTAATTTGTTCATTATATTGTTTTTATTAGATTTATTTTCAGTGTAGCTCTACTTATTTGAATACTCCCCTCGGCGTCACCTATTACATTTCAGTTTCTTTCCATTTCTGGTTTTGGCTTTCGCGCTGCCCCTGCTATTGCTCATTACACACACACGTTGGCGAATGTAGATAGACGGGTATGTAAACATGTGTACGTTACATACCTACGAATTTGTGAGAACGTCGCCCGTTACCGTTTTAGCTTTCATGGGGTAACATTAACCGCCCCTCCCCAACCCGCGCCACCCCACAACTACACAATGCCGTCGCAGCAACAACAACATCATCGGAGCATTGCACACCACACACACGCTCCTCTGGTCTTTCGGCCTGCTAATCGTTTCTGCTCGCCTGCTGGCTGCTTATGTTTATTTGTATATATCGAGCAACACAAACGCACAAAGCTCATATGCAAAACCCGCCCGGCACATACAACTCTACTGCCGCAGCGATGCGATGCGAAATACCCGTATACCCGTACCCGTACCCGTACACCCCGAACCCCCCGGAAACCCGTACTCCTCCGCCGGAAGCATCCGCATACATCAGAGCTCGGCTAGCAAACGAACACGTGTCTGGTTGCCTAGTCCGTCTCGCTGTCGAGTTGTATGTTGTCCACTTGGAAAAATAAACTAAATCTAAATCTAAATGTTGCTTTCGAAATTAAAATCAATTGTGGATTTGATATAAGTTAATTTTGTAAAGAGTGCAAAATGAAACCAGATTAAGACAAAACTTTTATTGTAACTTGCTTTCTGTGCCCTAATATCTGTCCTCTAAAACACCACAACACCTGTTTTGGTGAAAAATTTTAGCAAACCGGTGCTTTTATTTAAAAGAATATATTTATATGCCCCCCTTCGTTTTAGATAATTCAATAAAATTGGGTAATTGTTAATCATAACATCATTTTGGTCTTGAAAATAAAGATTTCAGTTGTATTACATTTTCTGGCATAATTTTATTGGATTTATGTAAGAAAACATTTAGATGACTGTATAATGATTTTATCCCAAGTGTAAGTATAGTACATGCGTTCATACAATCTTAGGCAGATAGCTAAGAGCATGTTAGCAGACAGCCAAGTATTTACGTATGTTTAAGTTTAGAACCAGTTGAAGGAAACCATTTGATCAGCTGATTTTCTCTAGATGATTGTAAAGAGAGGAATAGCTATTTGTGTACACAACCACTATTGCTAGGTTAGGCTTTTTGTAAACAAAGTGTTTACGATAGTAAATCTCAATTGAAATCATGTTTGCCTTAAGCGCGAAATTTATTTCCTAAAGCAAGAGATTTGTACCATTCACAAAAATATCAGTCGTCAGTACCCATCTCCCCAACTTATTTAAATGAAATGTATATTTACAACATGTTGCATCGATCAGTTTGTAAGAGGAGAGCCCCAACCCAAACCTGATTCCTTTCCCCATTTGGAAGCAACATGCTCGATACAAGGCCGTTTCTCCACTCTCCAAACGGTCGTCTCGGTACATTTCCAATGCTGTTGATAAGGACGGCTGGCGATGCAAAATAAAATAATAATAAGAGACCGACAGACTCACTTATCGTACGACTGAAGACTGCCAACGGCCCGAAGTGTAAGATGATGAACACCTAAAAAAACTAAATGAGTTTTAGACTTGTACTTACATTTACAAATAAAGGTGTAAATACACACTTGAAAAACATATGAATAATCTTTAAGTCAAGGAACTGTCTGCAGATGCCTACCCACAAAGTATTTTAATTAGTTAACCTATTTTAGTCTAAAAACTGTAATGAAATTAGTTTCCTAAGCGCCTTCAATTTACAATTTACATTATTAAATCTATTCGGCACTTCAGTCTTTATTATAAGAAAAATTCCAAGCGCAGAAGTGATTATTTTTATTCCTAGCTTAAAAATAATAACATTTTTAAATAACATTTTTTTGGATGCATTCTCGAGTTTCAAATTTTTTGCGAGTGAACAATAACAAAAGAATCGGATCGGCTTTCACTTTAATCTCCGGCGACTGCGTTTAGTGCACTTGCGGCAACGTACGCACAATCTTCAGCCCAGCCCAAAGTGAGTCCCCATCAATGCAGCTCCCAGTGCTGTGTCCTGTTGCTTGCCTCGTCCTGATGACGATGCAGCTGGAAGTAATTGGCTTGGCCATCACGAACGGTCACTGCCAGAAGAACATCAGTGTCAAGTACCAGGTGCCGGTGGCCAAGACACGAATCGCCAGTCCATTGAACGCCAGCCACCAGGCTGATTTGGATAGCTATGTGGTGTTCGAGGAGCGGGTGCGTTGGGACAACATCCAGGTGTGCTGTCCCGGTTACAGGACCATCCTGTTTGGCTTCTGCGAGCCCGTCTGCCAGGAGCCGTGCCCCGCCCACAGCTACTGTGCGGAACCGGACCGCTGCCATTGCCAGCGAGGCTACGAGCCCTCGCACCACCACACCACCCACCGACCCACTGGCCACCAGGTGGTGTGCCGACCGGTCTGCCAGGGCGGTTGTCCGGAGCACAGCCACTGTGTGGCCCACAACGAGTGCGAGTGCCGGCCGGGATTCAAGGATGCGAGCAGCTGGTTCAGCCTGAGCTTGCGCTGCGAGCGGGTGCAGTGCGGCCACGAGCAGCGATTCGATCCAGGACGACGAGCCTGCGTCCAGATCGAGATGAGCATGGAGGAGCTGATGCAGCGCGTCGCCGAGCGACTGGCCAAGGGCCTGGAAACGGAAACGACCTCCGAACCGGAAACCTAAGAGCCGTCGCTTGAGAAGGGGTGAATCCACATTTCTTAATCCAACCTGAATCATCCATGTATCTAAATGTTTAATAAAGTTAATTTGCCAATTACAACTTGTTCTTTAAATATTACAATTTTTGTTCAGCTCCGCTTAAGATTTTAATGTCGCGGTGAAAATGTAATAATAATTTAATATTATTGTTAAGATAGTGCATTTAATCATTTGAGTTCTGAAAATAAAAATTCATTTAAAACACAAACGACGTTAATCCCAGTTAAAAATCTAGTTTTAAATTTATTGTTGCTCTTCAGACAATAAAAAATTTCTTTTTGTTCAGTTGGTACAACCAAGTAGCATATACAAAATATAACTTAGGTACTAATTAAAGATCTCTGGACCTAATCGGAGGCAAGCTAATGTCTAAGTATAATATCCAACAGTTAACATCAGCCTATATCCTATCAAGAGTGGCACTCAATTGGCTTGGAAGTCCGATAAATTCAAATTCACATTAAAGCTCAAGTTCCGCGGCTATCGGCTATCGATCTCCCATCTTCCAGCAAGGAATCTAGGCGTAAAGTTTCTCGATCTCGTCAGCATACATCTTGGATACCACGTTGCGCTTGACCTTCAGGGTGGGTCCAAGTTCGCCGGTGGGAATGGAGAAGTCGTGCGGCAGAATGGTGAACTTCTGCACCTTCTGGGCATTGGAAATCGACTGTTTGTTGGCCCGCTTAATGGCATCCTCGATGGACTTCCACACCTTGGGGCAGGGTCCTGCGGCCAGGATCTCCGAAATGGTCTTGTGCTCCACGCCCAGCGACTTAACCCACACGGATGACTCGTGACTCAGCTCGTCCAATGGCTCGCCGGTATCCTTGTCCACTTCGGTCTGGAAAATTAGGTGAAATAAGTCAAGGGTTCTATAGATATTGTAGATCTTCGAGCTTAAATAATTGGTTTTAAAAACCTTTTTAGTGAACTCACCTTAATGGTGATCAGCACAGTGAGGTACTTGCGGAGTTCACCGACCAAAAAGGCATTGGAAATGGCGTCCAGCTCCTTCTTGATCGTGTTCTCGATGTGAACGGGCGGAATGTTCTCTCCGCCGGCGGTGATGATGATCTCCTTAGATCGTCCAGTCAGCGAGACGTATCCCTTGTCATCCACATATCCCAAATCACCGGAGTGCAGCCAGCAGTCGTCGTCCAGCGACTCCTCGGTCTTCTCCTTGTTGTCGATGTAGCCCATGAACACATGGCGTCCACGGATGCACAGCTCACCATGGCCATTGCTGTCCTTGTTGATGAACTTTGACTCGCAGCCGGGAAGAGTTTTGCCAATCGTGTTCAGGCCCACCGAATCGGGCAGGCAGATGGTGTGGCAGCCGGCTGTCTCCGACATGCCGAAGGCATCCACAATCTTCAGGTCCAGGCTGAGGAAGTACTTCTTCGTCTCCGGCGACATGGGAGCTGCGGCACTGGCCAGGGTCAGGACTCGATCGAAGCCCAGGGCCTGCTTCACCTTGGACATGATGAGTGACTTGGCAATCTTGTACCGGAATCCCCCGGAGCTCTTGCTGCGAGAAGTTGCGGGCAAAAAGTTTAATTAGCTTTGTTGACTGATGAGTTTTGTTGAAGGCAGGGAGGAGGTGATGCACTAATAGGATGGGCGGTGTTTGCGAATTAGGTGCACCTCAATAAACTAGGGTACACAAGCTGGTTGTGCAAATGAAAATATGCAATAATGAAAAATATGCAGACTAATCAACGCTACCCTCTTTATAATATTGTGTATCACGTGCATGTTTATTGAGGTTTATAGTAAATATTTCAAAATTATATACGCTTAAAAACTTTAGATATAAAAATAGTTGCTATTGTGTACTTTAAATGTTATAAAATTAAAAAGTAATTATTCGCTGGTCAAAATTGTGTAGGCTGTTTGTTGCTGATTGACAATATGAGCACTAGAAAACGCTTTAATCAGGCTACCAAATAAACTGCATACATGCTATTTAATGTCAAGGATAAGTTTCAACCAGAGTTTTCCCCATTTCCTCCTGATTTTCGTTAGGTTTTGGAGCGCCTGATGGGTTTTGTAATGCTTCAATCACTGCTCAAGTATTTGCACTTAAAAGGACCTCCCCCAAACTCTTTCCCTGCACTCCTCGCCCCTATTCATCTCGTTTTACTTAAGAGGACGTGCCCGCATGGCATGTCCTGGTCCTGCTCCTAGTCCTGGTGCTTCTCCTCCTGCATTTTCTATTTGCTGGTAAATGCCAGCAGCAGCAGCAACAGCGGGAGCTGGCTGGCTGGCTGCGTGTTCCACGTGACGTATGAGTAATGTTGTTGTCAGTGATTTTCGCTTAAACCAGAGCTAGGAGCGCTGCCGGTCCTTCTTGACTTGCATAATTTAGCGGGCACCAAAACACGGCAAACACGTACACAGTAAATAAAATGGTTCTAATCTTATTTACAGAATTTATGAAATTGATAAATTAGAAAAGCCACACTTCAGCAGTGTTATTTGATATTTGTCTGTAACATAATTTAAACTTCTTTAAAAACATTTTTATCATATTTTTTTCTGTGCACTTAAGGCCTGGCTGGGATTTAGCTCCTTGGCCAAAAAAGCAGGCTGAGGCATGAAAAATGCAGGAATGGGAGTTGGGAATGGAATTCTGTCGTTGCAGCCACTTTAACTGTGCATCCTTTTTGCATAATTTATGCGCACAAAAAGTCGAGAGCTGAAGTATTTGAAGTAGAGGCCTCATTGGGGAATACTTACCCTTGACTCACCATGTAGTGCTTCAGCGTGATGCCCTTGGCCCAGCTGGCGATCATCTTCTTCAAGCTTCCATTGGAGCTGGCCACGGCCACCATCCGCTCTTGGAATTTCTCATACACACGCGGCACGCCCATAAATCGCGTCGGTCGTGCATCCTGCAGCGACTTCACCAGCGTCCCCTTGAGCGCATCCTTGTCGGCGAACCAAATGCACCCGGCCACAAAGGCACAGGTGTAAATGTCGACGGTCTGGGCGGCCACGTGCGATAGCGGCAAATAGGAGACGATCGACTCCGCCCCCACCACCACCTTGTCCATGGCCTTCACAATGCCGCGCACGTCGAAGGTGATGTTGTCGTGGGAGAGCATCACGCCCTTGGGCATGCCCACCGTGCCGGAGGTGTAGACCAGGCAGCAGCACTCGTTGATCGCCACGTTCTCCAGACGGGTCTTGTACTGCTCCTCCACGTCGCTCACGTTCATCGACTCGATCTCCGACCACTGAGGATGGCAAGGAAAATAAATTAAAACTTGTCTATTTTCATATTACATGTTATCATATCCAAAAGAATTTTTTAAAGGAAGCTATATCTATGTCCTATATCTTCCATACATGTTTTTATATTCCTTAAGGGCAGACTAAAGTTTTATATTATAAACCGACTCGAAAACCTGATTAAATTTTAAACCCATTAAAAGTTAATAATGACAATTATATGCCACAACTAAAAAAGCACTTTATAGATTTCAAACAATGCCAGAGAAAATGCTTTGGTAAATTAAAACCAAAAGTGAATAAAGCTACACTTGTTATTTTTATGCACACACTTGCAATAAAAATAACTCTAATAAAGTTTTGTAATGAATACCTCTATTTTCTCTCATACCTATATTTATTATTTTAATTACAATGATTTTTAATTTGGCATACATTATTTGCATAAATTGTATGCAATCAAGTACGGTATTGAATTAAGTTAGGGTTATTAATTAAATGCAATTATTTTAAATCGAACGATTAAAGGACTCAACTTACCCTATAGTAGCCATCCTCCTTCTTCAGGTAGGGGGCATATGGCTCCTGGATCTGAATGGCGGCCTTCAGGTTGGGCAGCTTGTCGCGGATCGCGTGGATCTTGTCCATCTGCTTGGCATCATCCACGACCACGATCTGGGCGTGCGAGCTCTCCAGGACATGGAGGACCGCGTCGGCGGAGTTGGTGGTGTAGATGCCGGCGATGATGCCGCGCGCGTGAATGGCGCCCATGGCCGAGTAGAACCATTCGGCGCAGTTGAAGGCCAACACGCCCACCGAGTGGTGCTCCTCCAGGCCGAGCTTAATGAACGCCTTGGCCACCTGGTGCACCTTCTCCTCATATTGTCTGCGGGCGGCGGGCGGGGTGATGACAGGTGGATAATCGAGTTAGTGTTAAGTGAATCGCGCACAAATTGGCAATTGGCCAGCAATTCGATTAGCGGTACTCACTTGTAGGTGACAGTGTAATAGCCAGACTTGCCGTTCTTGGTCCGCAGGGCGGGGTAGTCGCCGTAATTGTTGACCGTGCGCTTCAGCAACCCGGGCACTGAGATGGGCTCCTCGGCACCGATTCCCTCCTTGGAAAGTCGGATCTTGACGGCATCCTCGCGGTTGGTGGTGCGATAGGCCTCCGCCTGCCTGAGGCGATTGGGGCCAGGGCGATTGTACAGCGCATCGGTCATTGTGATAGTCTGGAATCAAGCAATTGAGGACATCAGTTACTCTGAATTAATTTATATTATTTTGATTATCTAGCTATGGTAGAAAACAATCCATGTATTGGCCTTTATATCACCTCAGTTGGCGTGACTATCACTCCATTTTATTTATCACATTTGAGATAAACGCAGCACAATTATTAGTTTTGACAATTGGATTACAGTTTTAATTACACTTCGTATTGCAATCTACACAAATTCCAAATGGTTACTAATACAATTATATTCCCTTCCCTTTAAAAAAATGCCCTAAAAAAATGTTTGGTTTTAAAATTCGGGATTCATTCGATTTAAATATCTTATATGGCATTTTAAACAGCCTGTTAATCCAGCTTTATGGAAATTGCCTTGTCGACTAAAATCATACGATCTGCGACTAAAGTACATGCGTTTCGCTATATTTTTTACCATTGAAGATAAGATTCACACTCTAGTTGGCCTATGTCAAGGCTTCCGTTGAACGGGGTCTCTTATCGTGTGCGTATAACTTAGCACCTGATTACAAAGTGGCAACCAGCAATGTCAAGGTGGCTTTAATGTTTTTAAACAAATTCGACCAATCTGACGGGATATGTCGAGTGAAATTGCCTTAACCATAAAAAAACAACTAGATTGGCTTATAAGAATTCCTAACTATTCCCCTTATTATGGTATAATAACTTACCATGCTCTGGCCCTTATCAAATTCGGCATATCAGAAGTTGCTGCCTTTCGACAATGGTAAGTTTCTTTGAATGAGCTTTAATTTCGCGGTACAAAGGCCAAGAATCGTAATTCTTGATATCTACAATAGTGTCTGCTTGTTTTACTTTGCAACTTTCCGTTTTTTATTATTCAATAAATTCTGGGCAACTAAGCAACGATAAGACCCAAAATTAGCAACGTTCTACAGGTAAATTAAGAATGAAAGAACCAAACAGCTGACATAATAGTCAGCTGAGTCCAAAGGGTCAGCAAATAAATTACCGGTTATGACTGGACGAAAATTATAATTATTATATATAGATGTTTTGCGAAGATTTTACAGTGCTCCCATAGAAGATTGATTGGCATAGACAGCATAAATGATTGGCAGTTAAATTGTGGTGTAAGTCCTAAATTGATTCATATGGAAAGACCCCAAGGGCAAAGCATTATCAGGTTAATGGAAGTGCGTCTTGCTTACTTTTGGCAGATATGGGAGGTACCTACAGACATTAACATAGTTTTCGTGAAAACCATAAATCACTAGCAAATAAATAAAAGTCTGCTGATAACATTTAAAAGTACTCAAAAGTGGCGCACGCAATCGGAACATGAAAATTAGTGAGTAATTTTTGTATAAGTATTATAATCTCAGTATGAAAATAAATTATTAAAAACAAATCAATTTCTTGAGCAATATGTTTTTGCTGTATTTATCAACTTCTTATAAATATGAGAGCCCAGAAAAATATTGTTTGCCATATGTTCTAATGATTCAAAGAGAACGGAGTGTCACAATAGGGGAAACTATAATAAACCGGCTTTTCGATAAGAGAGCACACCGAACCATTTGTCATCGCGTGATGATCGGGTAAAAGTTGAAATGTTGGGCGCCCAAGACAAAACTACGCACTGAGCATATATCGAGTCGCACAGAAATTGGGTATGAAAACAAAACTGATAATAGGCCACAGCTTCTAAAAATATTTGGCAACTATTTGGCCATTTGCTCTCCAAACGAAAGACATTTCGAAAGTGTGGACCGAGAGAAGAGAATGATCTGAAAACGGAGAACTCAAGATCTAACGTTCGACCGTGATGTAAAAGAGGCTCGATCGAAGGCAAGGTGAAAAAGAAATTGGGAATTCGTGCGGCGAATTTAGATAGCTTCTGTGGGTGAGCGAAATCAGGCGATGACAATGAACCCACCGAAACAGTGCACTGACCCACAAATTAGACATAGACAATAAGAATCTCACGTGTTTCGCGGAAGTCACGAACTATCCAATCAAAACTATCAATTGTTCTTCGGATTTTTTTTCGGGTTTCTTTTGTTTTCCCTAGCCAACTTACATAATTAACTAGTTTTGGTTTCGCTGATTTTTGGATATTAGTTCTTCGGTCACGCAAATCGATTTCCGTGTACTTGTTAATCCCACTCTTTCACTCGAGAGACCGCAGAACACACGACCGCAGGCAGCGAAGGCAAAGCGTGAACTGAACTGAACTGAACTGTTCAGGATCGGATGCTATAGAAATTCTCTGCCCGCCGGGGCCTCCAATCGCTCTGCCGGCGTCGACGTCGACGCCCATGTCGATATGGGGTGCTACCTGGTACCCTCTTATCAGCAGCATGCGATCGGCGTTCTCACTCGCTCTCCCTATGCGGGAATACAACCACATCTTTGCACAGTAATAACCGTAAATGGCCTTATCAGTAGGGCGGTCTGGGAACCTTCCTATCGATATATTAAAACTTATCTCGGAATCCTTTCTGTCAACGACCACTTCCATGATCTCATAGGGGTCTCAATTATTTTAAGTGTAATTTTTCTAATCTCTAAAATTAATTGACTATTTTATTTTAAACGCTATTATTATCATTAACCATTTATTGTGAATGGAAAAAAAGAAGTTCTTTACTACCTTCTTATAAAAAAATTAATTAGTTGAAATAAAATGTTTTACTTGATATTTTTTTAATGCACAACCAATACATTTGTAATTTTTTATCTCAACAGTTATGACTAACCCAACTTTGTATTCCGTCATTTAATAATACAAATTCCAAGACAGCGTTCTCAATGTAAATATTAAATCTGGAGTGTAAAATAATCAAAATATATATATTTTTCAAGATTAGTTACACTGATATTCCTCTAATTAATACATTTTTGTAACGATCCAACTGATAACCCCAGAAATCTCAAGGTGATCATCGCAGTTTTTGCAAATACGCATTAAACAATGTTATGACTTTTCCTTCGTAAATTTAGTCAACCTTGAGACATTGTTTAAACTTGGGGGCTTGTCATGATTTTATTAAATAAACAAATAGAATTCTTACCTGAGCAACCATTTTCAGTATGCTTTAATATCCTGTTGGGTTAATCGTCTCAACTAAAATTAGTATCACGGATAAGCTTTCTTATAAATAAATTTGTAAACCAAACAGGTGTTCATCTGAATACGGACTGCTTAAAAACTGAAAAGTCGAGCTCTTTTATTCCAATGGGGGCAAGATAACTGACATTCCGGGAAAGTTTATTAGATAAATAAAATAAAATTAATTAAAAGTGAGGAACAGCTGATCCAAAATGATTCTACAGAAATAGGCCGTGAATAACAAGATGATAATAGCCAAATGATTCAAAAATATTAACCAAATATTTGGTAAAAAGTTCAAGGGTTTAATAAATACTGATATCGGTACCGCGTCAACAAATATGAGGGCTATAAAAACAAAGGGAGATTCGCCTATTGAATTGCACTGTTGCCAATGGTTTTTTTGCTTTCGGGGTGGCATTTTTGGGGTTCGTCATAACTCTTATCGAAGTATACAAGCTAGAAAACAGTTTATGATCTGATAAACACGGAACACTTGACCAATGGAAGGCTATTAAACTGCTGCCACTAATACTATATATAAAGCGGCAATTCCCTTTTAAATTTATGCCACATCCGTGAACGCTGTTCCACCTGTCCAACGGTTCAACTTTAGCGGAATTTATTTTTTCCACCATGCACTTTCTATAACCCACGTAAATTCGATTACCTACAGCTTGTATTTCCACATAGATTATATCAAAATTGTGCTGTTAAGTGCAGCCTTATCGCCTACACGAAAACGCAATATTTTTAAAATATTCCTAATTCGGGCGCGGGGAAAATGACTCGAAAATATTTGGTTGATTCTTGTTATCAGCCAACCAAAGCGTGTCCACAAATTCGCGTGGCTGCTCCACGTACAGGCTTTCACCTGTGGGTCATCTCACTTCCCAAGGCATTGATAATCCTGAATTTTTAATTTTGGTTGTCCCCCCATAGAAGAAAAGAAGTAATATATTTTTATAAATTGCATTGTTCATTGCTCATGCTCTCAGTCGAGATTTGTTTTGACTTTTTTATTTGAGGCAGAATTAAAAGACTCTGATAATTTATTAAGACATAACTAATTTGTTTATAATTAAAACGCAAAAGGCATAAGTTAAACATGGAGAGATATTACTTTCCTCAGCAAGAAAACAATAAAAACGTACTTCTTAAAAATATGAAATTGATATATAAAAACATTTTTTTCTCTGTTTACTAAATCGTTAAATATAAAACATTATTCATTATTCACTATTTAAATTTTATGTACATTTAAAAGAAGACTTTGAGTTTACTTTTTGCGCAGACTGTAAAAGCTTATTTAAAGCTTTATCTCGTAACGAAGATTGCAACCACTGAAAAACTTTACACAGCTTGATGGAAAATGTAAATGTAGAAATCGTAGGAAAAAACCTGGCAGTATGTTTGAAAAACAATCGATGGATTTTATCGATTTAAATGAAAATTCAAAATTTTTTTCCTTAGAATCTTTATACATTTATCTTAAAATGGTTGAAACTGCATTTTAAGAATAATCTTTGTTTTATGGAAACCTTAAAAATTGTATTTTCTTCAAAAATGCCAAAAAATCTTTAAATAATAAAATATGTTGTCGAATGATTGGGATGCCAACACTAGCTTACAATAGCCGTACAAAACAAATTAAATCAGTTGCATCCAGAGTTAAACTGGCAATGGCAATTCGATTGGGAATCGCCGTTTATTCAGACAAGAAGCGAACATAAAGCGAGCATCTATCATTGAACTGTCCCTCGGATTTTATTCCCGATTATATGACAACATAACCCGACGAGCTCTGATTTCGATGTCATGTTAATGAGATTGTCGTCATCAAAGTTGGCATCGAATTACGTTCGCCTGAGCTGCACAAAGTTCCACTTATTTACCTCCATGTCCGCCCCCACTAAACGCATGCAAATGATGTGATAATAATGTCGGTGGGGGAATGGGAATCGAGGAGGTGTCTTACCCCACGGACATATATGTACAATAAGGGGTTTATTTAAAAATAACGCTTAAACCCATTTAAACAAGAGGTAAGCAAAGCAATGAACGTGTCCGGGCATTTCAACAAGTCCTGTTGGTGGAAAGGGTCCTTTTCAGAGGGGTGAAATGGTCGGGTTGGCATTACAAGTGTTTGGCTAATTAGCTCCGTTTAATTGTGCGACACCAGCACAAAGACAGAGTCACAAGCAAAGTCAGACAAATGAATGTGAACTGCACATAATTGACTTGACACGCCCCCAAAAATATCAAACAAAGAAACTCAAAAGGAATTTAGGAGGCGAGAAATACGATTAGTTCTGGGCTAATCTTCCCGCTTTTGTTTGTAATGAAAATGCTCAATTTTATAAGAAAATGTACTTAATTCAAAGAATTATTCGAAAAGATTAGTATTTCTTATTAATTTAATTAAAATAACGCTTAATTTTAAATGAATTTTAAAGATAGATTCTTATTAGGTTGCTTTGGTTTTCTTTAAAATATAATATATTTCTTTTATTTATTATATTTATACAAATATTTTATTTTAAAAACATTTTTAATAATGTGTTTCTATTTCTGTTCTTATGGATCACTTAATAATAGTTTAATGAAGATAAATTATGCTCGAAACGGTATGAATCTAAAAATACGGGTCTACAACCTCACATACAAATATATTATATATTTCTTTGCTTCTTCATAAATATCTGGTCTTATGTATATATATCAACATAAATATGTTTAGAAAGCTCTTTAATTCAGTTGCCCTTAACGGTCCATGTTTTAGGCTTGAAACTTTTCGTGTGGCTTTCACCTGGTTCTATGGTGTAATGGTTAGCACTTTGGACTCTGAATCCAGCGATCCGAGTTCAAATCTCGGTAGAACCTAGTGGTTTATTTTTTTTCGCTTATTTTTTTCTGGCCTTAATTTGATTCCGAAATTGTATAGTTTGGAAAATCATTGTTTGCCGATTGCATTCGTACAATTGAGCGGCAGAATCAGGAACGGCTGTCTTTGGCCACTGCATTTTCTGTTTCAATTTAACAACGGGGCTTCAACGTACAATCAAACAAACCCAACGAAGCACAGACAGTTGCATTTGCATATGTATGAGGGCTTGTCTGCGTTTCAGTTTCGGTTACAGCTTCTGTTATTTCCTTTTAGCTTTAACTGCACCGAATAGTTTTGGGTCTCCAATAAAACGGCATTGGCCATAAAAAGTGGCAACTCATTTCGCGCTGAAGGATACGAAATGCCTGAAAGCCAAACAATTGAAAATGTGGAGCTCTTTCATTAGCCACTTTGGCTGCCAACTTTGGCCCCAACAACATTGTTTTGAATAATTTGTCAGCTTAAAGTTTTCGGAAAACATGGCGAGCATCTCTCGCACACAGTGTAATAGAGACTATCAGCAGACCGGGCAAATACTTGACTTTAGCCGACACTAAGCTGGCCATTATGAGTGTTTAACCAGCAGCAGAGTCGCCACTAAGTTTGTATCTGTGGCTCGCAGTTAAAGTGAGTGAAAAACTGGGCTTAAAATTTAAGGGTTTTGAATAACATTCTTTAAATTAAAGAAGGGAAAAATCACGTTTTGAATGCAGAAATCAGTAAAATGTATAAAAAGTGATATATAATATAAGATGCAATTGATTTAAAATATGTATAATATAGATCCTATTATAAAATTGATCTGTGACATGAACTGGCTTCTACAATTCGTTTGTTTATACTTCCAGCAAAAGCTCACTTTCTTAAAGATTTGTAATGTAACCAATTCAGCTCTCCGCCCATTTTGCTCCAAACCTTTAACTTCCATAGAAGACCTTTGACCTAGGGTTCACTAATAACAGAGCCCCTACAAGGAAAACAAGGCATCAAGCTGTGCTAATAATAGAACTCGAAGGAAACCTTAATCAATAATCGATATTTGACAAATTGCGTAACAATTGCTACACTGCCCGGCTTTAATTTCATACCTCGAGTGTCGCCCTGTCAAGAGCTAATTAATTGGATTGGGTAAATTGGAGAGCTGGCCACTTGACCAGCAGCCAGTTCCTCCACTCCTCTGTCCCTCGAGTTCACTTGTCAAATTTCAATAATTTAGCTCTTGTCCCAGACAAACTGAAGCTGTCAGCGATAAGCCAGACAAGCAACAAAGACGAACATTTTACAGCAGATTTTCTTAACCCCTTCGGTGAACTTGTTTTGTAGATAAAACTATAGAGGAGAGGGGGTGGGTTTAAGCCGGGTTAGGTGGAAAACTGTTAACGTTAAACTAAACGAGATTCGTCTCGTGGCGTTTATTTAATGCGCTTCGTTGACTCGCTCCCACATAAAAATTCACCGAAAATTTTGTTGATTGCATTTAATGTGGCGAGGTGGGATTGTTATGGCTTTCCTCCCCATTCGCGTTTTCCAGATGATGCAATGAAAAGTGAGCATTCGCGGTGTCCATTAAAGCCAGAATAGATCACACATCAAATGGTTTATTCAATTTAATCACTAATGTTTTAGACCGACAGTTGCACATAATGACTGAACGGATTTATGGCTTTCTAGGAACGAGATTGATTTTTAAATTAAATGGAAGCTTAAGTAACCAAGATTGCAGTAGGGAACTTCTTTGGGGGATGTGAGTTTTTGCTCAACCGAGCTCTTAAAGCTAAGTTTTATTTCATCAGTTACTATAAAAACCACATGTCAATCGTTTGCGTCCCAATATTTATCTTTCCCTGTTAATAATTGTATTTGCACAAATGCTGTCTATTTTAACTGCGTGATAATCGTCTGGGAATATAAGAAGTTATTATGGAACCATCAAAAAATAATGCTAAATTTTTGCCTGCGACTTGTATAATTTTATTACAAAGCTGTTTTTATTAAGAGGCGGTCAAAAAATACAAATAAAGATTTCTCGAATCTATTCCACAACTTTCTGGAACACGCCGTGTTGATGTCCTGTTGTCCGTCTAAATGCCGTCTTGAATGATAAGGAAATATGTAATATCGATGAGCGGCGCGACCGTTTCATATTATATAGCCAACTTGGTTACGAGGTGAATTAGAACTTGTGCAATAATCGCAGCGTTTTATTTGTGAGTCGACTTGATTCTTTGGTATCTCTAGTATAAAGTTAAGAACTGGGCATCTTTAATAGTGAGTCAATTTCCGGGGCCTTTTTCGGTTCCTTGAAACCCATTAGGGCAATTCTATCCAACATTACAGTCAGTGGCTCGTCGATATATGGTGGATGTAAACGAATTCCAATCTCCTGGGACAAATTAACATTGATCCCCAGACGGTCATCCTCCAAGACTACAGTCTTGATCATTGTAAATATGGCGAAAACCACGTTACTGATGTGCTCAATTGGTCCCTGTTGTAAAATAATTGAGAAAAAGCGACCCACAGATCGGCACATCCCTTTTTTTTCCTTGGGAACTTCCGCCTTCTGTAACGTTGGTTCCAGAATTTTTCTTATGTTAAATCGCATGCGTTCATACTTCCTGAATTCTTTATCCTTGCAAGGGTAAATAAATTCGATTGGTTTTACAGAATTCTTTGCGAAATTTATTCCAGAGCTTTCGATTAATTTATTTTCTGTCGATTTCGACTCTAGGTTTTCTTTTTCATCTGAAAAAAGATTTAAAATGTATTAACAGTCAAATCGGATGCATTTGCTTACTATTTTTTTCAACGTAAGCCAACCAGTCCTTTTTACTTTGAATACCCATACTTAATAAAAGGTCCTTGAGAGATTCCGTGTATTCTCTATTGATTTTCCTACTCATACTTATTAATTTGAAATAAGAAATTACTAAAATACTTTATAAATGTGTGTAGAAAAATAACTGAATTTTTTTTTTTTAAGTAAAACTTGAATTTAATTTGTATACTATTGAGTAAGAATGATTTTACTTTCTACCTTCAATGATATTTTTTTCTACCCCTACTCGATTCAAGAATTCGTAGTCTTATCTTTGTCAGATTTCTTGCCAAGAATTGTCGCATTCAACTTTGACCAAGCACGTTTGCCATTATTCTCAACCATGAAGGCAACTTGTCCATTTACTTTGCATAAAGAAAACATTTTGCTGCAGGTTTCCTCGCACAACAATTGCCTTTCATCGGTTCACTATGGTTCTGATTTTATTTTCGTACTTTTTTGGGAATTGATAAATCGCACCGATAAAGAATTATGAAGCGTATCTACAAAACAAATATGTGGAGTGACCGAAAAAACGAACCAAGGTACAATAAAAAGAAATCCAATGTAACAATTTTCATAAAAAATGAATGCTGCAATTTTTCGTTGTGGCCACTTTTAAGTGCTTGTAAGTGAATGCACATGTATGAATAAATATTTGTTGGAGTTTTTGGTACGAAAACTTTTATTCGAATGCACAACTTTGACTTTTATGTGTAGACAGAAAGGATTAAAAAAAGAAATTATTTATATGGTGAAAAGCTTAATGAGTTCAGTGGAAAGTTAATACCATCAAGGAAATTAATTGTAATTAAATTATTTTTGTTCGTACATTTTTGTCAGAACGTTCAAAATAGTTTCTCTACTTTTCTACAAATTATTTTTTAAACATATTTTTTAGGCCGTTCGAAATGGCTTTTTTAGTTTACAAAAAATTATTTCACCAAGCCAAACAACACTTTAAGCTCAATTTAAATTCAGCTTGTATATTGAATTGGACTCTTAATCTTCACAATCTTGACATCAAATAGTAAACATGTCAACCCAAATGTTTGTGAGTATTCTAATTCCGTTTTGTGGCTAACTAAAGTTCAAGTTAAATTAATTAGCTTTTTTATCGCGATTATCAGTGTGACAAATTTAATACTACCATAAAAACTGTCACTGCTGGGGATTTGTTAAGTCCGAAATGTTAACCTTTAAAGGGCCTAAATTGTTGGCTCTTTGAGCTGCGGCAATTTATCAACAAATTAACGCCCCCTGGAAAAGAAGCCTCAAAATGTGGAAAAATTGCCGCCTCATTTGGGCCGGAATGTCAGAGGTTCGTCTCAGGGTAAGGTCAATGGCCAAACGGCCAGTTACTAAGCCTCTAACCAAATCCGCGGTACGCTCTGACCAACCATAATAATAATCAATATTTGCTCTGATGGTGAAGACGAGCAAAGACACTGGCATGTAGAAAAATCCCAAGTTGCGTGTTTGACTTGTCACTCGAAGCCAACTGGACAAAGTCAGGGGTAAATTTAGCTTGGGGCTTAGGAAAACGAGCAGCAAGAAAATTTCACGACTTGGCATCGTCAACAGGAAGCACATTAAGCATAGGACTTCACCCCGCTGAATTTAGGAAAAGTGGGGAAGGATAATGGACGAGGTGGTGGCGTGGCCGATTCCGGGGACATTTAAATTGAAATGGCCTATGATTTGGCAGATTTTTTTTTGGCTTGACTTGCTTAAAGTTGAGCCTCCTCAAGGACGTAAAAACACGCAGCACGTACACAGAAAAACGAGAAAGGACAACACACGAATAGAATGTGTCGGGTCAGAGGATACTCAAACGATTGCTTTTTATGGTGATGGGAATAGTTTATAAGAAGATAACAACTTTCAGTTAACTTAAATATGAGTTGGGCAAATTCACATATATCTCTTCAAGGGCGACAGTTTATTTGGCCCAAACAAGAATTCTTTTAGGGATCTAATAAACCTTGCTTTTAAAATCGGATAGGTGGAAAATATATTTATTCTGCCAGCTGTTTGAGAGGTAAAACTAGATAAATAATATTATTAAGTATTGAAAAGGTAATCCATATTAAATTAATTTTTTTTAAATTTTTTCCTAAAACAACAACACTGAAGAACCCCCTCCTAGCAATCATAAGCCGCGACTTAGCTTTATAAACTGAATAAATTCCCACAAACATATTTCTCTCGTATCTGCAAGACATCTTAATGAAAATCGCAATATGGCCATGCCAAGACTTGTATAATCAGAGACATGAAAATCTGCATGAGAAGCTTCTTTTAGTTTTTCACGTTTGGAAAATATCTTTACCTCGCACCAAACAATAAATATAAACTTTAGTTATGTCAACAATTTATGCAGCCGTAAGCAATCTACATGTAAAGCGTTCAAATATATGTCTTCCCAACATTTTTGCTATTTATTTTCAATTTGAATTATGGGTCCCATGCCCTAAAATACGAAACCGAACTAAACCAAGCCAAACGCACAGGAGAAGTAAATTAAAAAAATAAATAAATAAACCACAAAGGCAGAGCAAACAAAAAACCAATAGAGATATAGAAATAGAGGGACATATATAACGCCGAAAAGGGGCGGAGTGGGTGTGACATGGGCCCAAAACCTTGACGTGCGTGGGCCCGATAAAAATGTTGTGTGTTGCCTACTTTTTCGGCTGCGAAAACCCTCCACAAAAGGGTAAAACGGATTCATTCAAAAGTTTTCTAGTCCAAGGCGCGTGTGTCGGTCAATGAACTCGGTTCTTCTAATGAGCTTGTACATTGGCGTGTGATTTATGAATATACCCGATACGGAATCTAGACAATTCACTGCGTGGCACACTTTCAAGTTCCTGGCTAATCGCAGTTTATGTGCAAAAACATGTCGTATACTTAACATTAACCAGTGAACATTGTGGGCGGAAAAGGGCGATCTGGCGAAGGGCTTCGTTTGAATGGCATGCAGTCTATTTGCATATTTATCTAGGACTAGGAGCTACACCAACTGGTGACAACATCCCAACTGCCCTTGTCGGATTTGCAGGGGGTAAAAGTAATGGCAGTTTGATGAGTTGCTCAAAGGGGGCGGCGTGTGCACTGGATGTGCAAATGGGGGTCAAAGGTGCAGTGCCAGCGCTAAAATACTTGGGGATTAAGTCGAGCCAGTTTCAGTACAGTTTCAAAGCTAAACTAAGCTGCATTAAAAATATGCGCAGTGAAAAAAAATAGTTGAGCAATGGACTAATAAAACCAATTGTGAAATATTATCTAATCAATTATTTTAATAAAATTTTATCAAAAGGTCACCACCTGATCTAAAAAAATTGTTTTTAAATAACTTTTTTTGCTAAGCATAAAGATATAGTTTATCTTGTTTTGTTTTTAGTAGTAGCATAGGTTTTTTTTTGGTATTAATTTTCTTCTAAGTTGAAACAGCAAGATATTTATTAGTTATTCTCGTTTAAAAGCGGCTTACCACCATCTCAGTATTTTTTTTCGACATTTAAATATTTTTATTTTTTGTAATTTGTTACAATATAAATTATGAATAAACTTATGTTTAGGCATCTGGCAAATTCTTTATTCCAGTGTTCTCAACTGTTGAGTGAACAGAAAAAAAAAGAAAAACGAAAATTCAAATCAAATATTTGTGCTAAGGCCCAGTGGAGCCGGTTGGGGTCAGCCTCGTCCACCCACACCCCACCACCCACTACTCACCCATTTGCAGGCCCTGTGGGATTGCGAGCTTGACAACATCCTTAGATTGGTTTGTGCTAAAGCGCGCCAGGAACGCTGCTCGTGGAAAGCGTGGAAATTGGCGCACAGCAGACATGACAGGGCAGCCTGGAATCCTGGCAACCGGGCAGACAGCGTCCCCAGTTAACCCGGCTAAATGGCAGGGACCGAGCACATGCATTGGCATCGGCAAACAGGATCAACAGGAATTTGCATTTTATGGCGTCTGCGAATGCATTACCCCAACTGCCCGCCAACGAGCTCTTTGCGGATTGGGCCCACGCCCGACCCTGTAATTGTTTAAATTAAGTTTCGTCGAATAGTGCTAAATGCAATTAAAGTCAAGCGAGAGCCGCAAATTATGTGGTCGTTGTCACTTGATTCGCAGGACGTAGAGCATCCCAGTGTCCTTGTCGCTGCTCCTTCACTTTTCGGCGGCAATTAAAATGTCAGAAATATTGTGACACGACTCGATGTCGGTGTTACTTTACTGTTTTAATTGTCTCTGGCAATGCAGCTTGTTTATCTTTTGCTAGCCGAAAAGAACAAAACGTGAGCGAGAAAAGTTTAATGGTCAGCAAAATGTGACATACAGTGGATTTGGAAAAGTTTAAAAGTGTATAAATATAATACAGTACGTTTATTATTTATTTTAATAAGTAAGCCAATATATATGTTTTTTTATGATTGTTAGTTACCCAAATTATTACTGTTTGGCTTTCCATTTGAACCAACGTTTAACTACATAGTTTCCTGTAATGAAAGTTGACGATGTTTTGGTCCCAATTCTACAAAAATTTATTTGTCAAATAAAATCCAAATGCATTTCAGCGGTTGGTTGAGTTTTAGCCATATCCCTCACAGCTTAGAGTGCGACCTTTTTGGTTGGCAAGCGATATCCACAAATTTGCTGTAATTCGAGTTTTATGCAGCACTCGACATGCAATTTTGTGTGCTCCACGCTCATCTTGGTTGTCTTCGGTTACAGTTCTCCATGGCCATATTCCTTTTCCCATTCCGAGGTCCTCAGTCAACTGTCTCACACACATAACGAATGAGAGCTAAATGCTGCCGTCTTGGATATTTTCCATCCTAGCCATCAATATGCCAGCGTTGGTAAGTAGGTCGTTGTGGGAGAAAAGTCAGAGGAGAAGGCCAAAATGTTGCCCTCTGTCTTATGCTGCATGTTTATTGTTTGGACATTGATCCCTTATTTCCCAAAAGAACCAGAATTAGGAGAGTGTTGATATGTTTGTATATGCAAGACAAAGGTCAAATATGTGGTAGCAGTCAAAGTTTTAATAATAAAGGAATTCAGTTGTCAAATAAATACCTCAGAGTATATGAACATCTAGCATTTAAAAGTACTAATAAAGATATTTAGTTTTTGAGACGATGAAACCGTATTTGTCAATCAAT